ACTTTTTGCTATTATATTTTTCCTATCCTGCTTTGTTTTTGGGATACCCTAAAGCAGGGGTAGGCAACCTTGGCTCTTTTATGACTCGTGGACTTCAACTCCCAGAATTCCTGAGCCAGCACAGCTGGCTCAGGAATTCTGGGAGTTGAAGTCCACGAGTCATAAAAGAGCCAAGGTTGCTTACCCCTGCCCTAAAGTATAACAGAGAGAGGAAGTTGTTACATCACACTTAGTAGAAAGCCCAACAAATATTTTTATGCTATCAATTATTTAAATGTTAAAAATGTTATGTTCTATTTGACTTTATTAAAATAAAAATACTTGTTTTGCTTACAATGCAAAACACTTATTGCATTAGAGCACCCTCTACTGCTGAAATTCCTTTTTGAAAAGTTTATATTTTCTAGCAGCATTCAAAGCCAATTGGCAAATTGAAGAACATAACAAATAATAAAGGGATCTCCTTTGTATTGTGGGGGATTCAGTAATCTCTTTTCAAGGAAATGCTTCTATTTAGGTGTTCTAAAGGTGTTCTAAAACTTGATTATCTGATATAACTTTATTGGTAAAATAGATTCTTGTTATTGTTTATTACTAGGCTACAGGACTTTTTGTAAAGAGAGCTACCACAGGAAACATATACAACATGAAAGTATCCTACCTTAAAAAATAATAACCCTTCTATACTTATAGTCAGCGAGTAATGTGATTAAGGTGTTGGACCAGGAGTAGGTCCTCTCCCTGCCTGGATGACATACAATGGGCTCCAGCTTAACCTAAGTAAGACTGAGTGGCCCTGGGTGCTTGGGCAATCTAGTATCAAGTTTTTTCCACTTCTGGCCTGGATGGGGTTGAACTACCCCAGACAGACACATTGTGCAATCTGATCCACAGTCCTGATCAAAGAGCAGGTGGCAACCATGGTAGGAGATCAGGGATTACCTTGTTTGAGTTTATTTCAGAATGATCCATCCTGTCGGAAAGCTGTATATCTCCAATACTTAGCCTTACAAAGGGAGTAGAAAGTCATGTACCACTTTTCAAGAATATGAATGGATGACACCCCAAAGATCAATGCCTATTCACTCTTGTTATACAGAATAAGTCGCAAACAAGGAAAATTCCTGTTGAATATTAAGAAAACTTCAATAGGGCAGTAGACTCAAGAATTAACAGAAATGATTAACTCTCCTTGACTGGCTGTTCAATGCATTGAGCTTGCTTGAATTCCTAGAATTAATCACCAGGTTGGCTTGATAGTCTGAAGAACTTTTTCCAAATCTATGACCAGATGTTTTCTTTCCTACCCTCAAAATAATAAATTTAAGCCTTTAATCTTAGAGCGTTGCTTCAATCTTGAGTTGTAAGACAAATGTTCTATGCAATAAAATTCTGAGATCCTACTCAAGCAGGATAATGGAGCATTCCCATTTAGTTATTGTTACGGACTTGCCTATTTCTAAAGCTGAAGAGGAGAACCTGTAGATGGGAAGCAAATCAACAATTCAGACCCAGTGTAGGTGATTGTTGATTTGGAGAACAAGGGGTCAAATCCTGAACTTAGGTGAGTACCCAATCTTAAAGCACATGATCAGCTAAGGAGTGGCAGGTCTCCTTGACAGCAGACAGCATCTGTTCTTCTAATTAGGCAAGCTCCTGAATTCCTGCTATTTAAGAGCACTCCCTGCATTGAAAACAATTTTCCATTATGAGACCTGTGTTCCTCTGGTCTCATTCTTGGTCTCTCCTGATTCTTTACTCTTCAAATTGACCTTTAGGTTTCCTGGATTGGATGTGGTCTTTTTTGCTGTATTAAGCTATAGCTATGAATTAAGAGGCACAATGTACTTCTTCTGTGTATTGTTCTTGGTTTTCTTTGCATAATTTATATCCTGTAATCATAGCATGAATCATTAAGTGACTTATGAACAAATTGATAAAAGCATTAGAAACTTGCTAATTGCCTCCTTCTTGAGGCTGTTCATCCCAGTGCAGGACAACATCCCACACTGTAAAATTCACAGCAAGTTGAAAAGAGAAGCTGTAAAGCTATAGCAAGCTAATAGTACAATTCACGAGAAACTATTGTACCAAGAGCATTCCCATTAAAAATATGTCTAAATCAGAAAAAGGCCTTCTGGCCAATTTCTGCTCTATGAACCTTTAAAATATTTTTTGAATTAAAAAAATAAGATTGGAAATAAACGTACTTCAAGGTGCCGGCCACTTGTATTGCCTTTATTTCCAAGAATATTTCTGGAATTCATATAGGTCCAGAAGACACTTTGAAAGAATGAAAAAGGGCGAGTCCTTTATTTGGAAGTGAATGATCAGAAAAGATAAGAGTAAGCTGGGCGTGGAAGGGTTGAATATAGGGCATCCAACAATGGAGCAAACTTCTTGGTTTTGACCCCGATAGATGGATGTTTGGAGGCTTGCCATGACCACGTCTGCTCTCCAGATTATTAATGTGCCTCCAGCCCCAAACTGCTTATTTGAATTTAAGCTGGGCTTCTGGGAAAGGTGTGTCAAACAAAGCTGTGGCACAGATGCCATGTACAGGTGTATTCAATAACCATCTCTATGTCCTCACCCCTATAGCAGTTTTGGAAAAAGAATTTCAGGGGAGGAGGCAGGGATTGTTACTATTGAACAGAATACCTTTAAGACAGCATGCTATTTCTTCTGGCGCTATATGCACAAGTAATATTGGACACTTGTGAATAATGATCAGTTATCTATAATAGTTTTTATTTATTCTAAAAATACTGATTTCTAGCAAGTTTTCTTTTAGCAAGTTTTCTTTCTAATCTTTATATGCATTTGCAGTCTTTAATTCCTGCCCGCTCTCATGGCTGTAAACTTTTCTTTTTTTGACCCAGCTTTAAAAATTCTAGCAAATTTTACATTTATCTGAAGCAGATTGATCAGTCAAACTAAATTTTTACACACAAGGAATAAACAGGCAACTTGGTCCAAAGTCCTGTTGCATGATGTTTTTTCTTTTTAAGCGTAAGGGCGTTTAGTAGGTTCTCAGTATATCATTACAGTTCCATTTAATTCACATTATTTATTATTCTGCTTTGACCCTGGCACTTTAAACTTTATGAATGGAACATAATAAATATTGTAGCATTGTGCTGACTTATATTTAGTCTCAATGATTTCAGCAGGCTAATTTAAAAAAAGACAATAGAGGCTATTAATAATTTAACAAAAATCATCTCGCATTTGTGTGAGGACTATTAATCCAGAATCGTTTCCCTTGCCCTACACTCTATCCAACAGGATTTGAGTGGCTAGGATGAAAATAAGGAATATATAATATTTGTCAACCAGTGAAAAGAATGCTCCTAAGAATGTTAGAGTGTTCTGTTTGTGAATTATGCCAAATCTCTTCCTGACAAAAAGCTTTTTACAAAGCACAAGAAGTTTGAGCAGGAATAGAATCAAAAGTATTAAAATACTTTTTTAAATGTTTACTTAATACTTTTAAACAGTATTAATATTAAAAGTACTCATCTCCAAGTTGCCCCTTCTCCATTTTAAAAAAATTGGTGAAGATTAATAAGCTATTGTGAGTCTAATAATTTTTTTTACTGTTTATAGAATGTGTTATTTTATGTTTGTTAGTCAATAACTGTAATAAAAAGATCATCCTTAAAATACACTGAACTTCTTCTGGCTTGGAGGATTTACTTCTGAAAACTGACAAACCATCTCAGAAAGACATGGTCCAGAAGGAGGTTCAACACAATCCTAAGAGAAATGGAACATTCTGGAGTTCTCTAGAACATTCTGTTCCCTATCAATGATTTCCGCACATTTCTAATGAAAAGAAGTTATGAAATTAGAAATTATCATAGAGCAATCTCACAATATAGTTAAATAAATACAATCAAATTCCATCTGGTGCCTGCAATTTATTATATGCAGAATGACAGCAAGTGTCAGAAAAAGCACAACATCATGGAGGTACAGTTAGTGAGTAGGCCTAGAGGCAACATACCACTTTGGCACAATTGATCAGCATAATTTATACAAACACATTAATAAATACATAATAAACCATTAGAAGAATAGCAAGGACTGATTTGGGGATACCGTGGCACACAGACACCACTGGCCATGCCAGCATTATCCCACAAATCAAGCACACCATGGCAGGGCACGAGGGAGAACACACATTCATCCCTCCTCTAGAACAGTGGTGTATTGTATCAGGCACAGACAGGAGCTAAAATATTTACTGATGAAATTTATCAGTTTGCCCAGTTAAAAAAAAAAAGGAAAAAAATATCAAGTTCTTGCTTTCGCTTAGATAAGAATCGTCTGGAGGCTATGACCACAGAAGAATTACCAAGACAAAATGACTCAGTTCTGAACACTGCGGCACAAAAATTATTGTATGCAACTTAGTTTGATGCAGCAGTAGCAATTCCATATACCAAAATGAAATTGGATAAAGAAACATTTAACTTGATAAAACTCAAGGCAGAAAAAGGATATTAAAATTTGAATTCATTAATATATACTCTGGATACTGAGTTCTGGCATTTTCTTTCCTACACAAAACAAAGCGCTTTGGAGCAAATCCTGTGGAGGAGTTTACTCAATTCTGCTAGAATGGCTCCTGTATTTAGTTTCAATTAAAAAAGTGGGTCTTAGTTCTTACAATTCCTGGATAACCTAAATTGTTTGAATGAACTTCAACTACGTAAACACCCACAAGAATAAAATTAAAGGACCATTTTGTGGAGGCACAATGTCATATTTTCTGGATACGTCTCTGATGTTTCCTTTTCACAGCATAGGTTCTTGGAGAACTTCAAAACAGGCATGGAATGGCAGTGGTTATATTTAAGCCTGAGGACAAACACTATAAAAGCACATCAAGCACATCAAAGTATGCTACAAAGTAAAGCAAAGGCCAACAGTAAGAGACCACTATTGGCTACAATAAAACAAAAATAACTTAAATAATTACTATGATGAAAAATAGTAATAAATACTAGTTTGGCCTGTAAACAACCTATTTTTTTCACATTAGATTTCCTGCTCCCCTATTGTGTCTAAAATGAAACTGATTAAGCTTAAAGAATGAAAGGGGAATTAGTTCCACTCTCTTCATTCTTGAAGAAACACTGGAATGTGATGAGCTCAGATTCAAGAGGGGAGACAGGAGGAGGAAAGGTTGGCAGTCTGGAATGGAAACAGGACTGTTACCCACCCACTTCCCCCCTTATTCATCGAGGCCTGGTATCAAGTCTGCAATACTGTCCACATAGTAGTGAGGCACCAGGTCCTTAGCTGAAGGGCTGTCACTGGCCATGTAAGCCTGTGCCTCCTCTAAATATGAGACACCTGTCAGGGTCAAGACAGTATCAAGGCCACAGTTCTTGCCAAACAGTATATCCGTCTCCAGCCGATCACCCACCATAAGCATGCGGGATGGATCTACACCAAAGCGCTCTACAATGCATTCAAACATGTATGTGTTTGGTTTTCCAATTACTGTTGCTTTGCGACCAGATGCTGTTTCAACTGCAGCAGTGAGACTCCCTGTCCCTGAAAGAGAAGAGACAAAACCACCACAAATCAAAAGATTGACCTCCGTTAACAACCGCAATCCAGGCACTGCCTGACATATTAGGTAATCCAAATAAATTGACCCAATAAAGGATGAATAAAACAGGTCGTTTTGGGTTCAAAATAGTGAGACTAAGTAAACTTAACTTTCACTTAAATGGAAAGCTTATATCTAATTTTACTATTATGTGAAACAAATTCACATAATTCTAAAGATTTAACTGCAAATAATATTATAATCCAAGAAATTCTATCAGCTCAGTTGAAAATTCTTGGAGTGAATCCCAAGGTCTTATAAATACAAGCTTCCCCTGGTTCAGAAACAGAAACACTTGAGTATGTAACATTTCAAGGCTAGTTAGATATGAATGGATGCATTTTATTACACAGTATAAGTATATATTACTATATATATAGTTATACAGTATACACTTCAATTTTTTCTCAGTAGTATTGCTCATAGTAATGTATACCTAAGGTCAACCAGTCAACTTTGGAGTAAGGTTTTCCAAAAAAGTGGGGAACAGATAACCTGTTTATGAGGGCAAGACTAGGAAGTATGAAGATTCAGATATTTCTTTATCAATAGAGACTGAGATTTTTTTTTCAGTTCTCTTACCAGTCATGGAGAATGTCTCATTCAGTGCAGGGATAATTATAAATTCCACAAAAATAACTTAAAACTCATAAAGCTCTAAAAGGAGTTGCTTGCAATGGTCCAGGGGAAACAGATACTGATTCATCTTATTTGAAGAACTGTGAAGCAGCTGACTAATAGACATGTACTTTCTACTTGCAAATCACTTTACTAAGTCATTTTATTGGTAGTTTGCAAAAAGGGCTATCAAAAAAAGAAAAAAAAATCTGAATATAGAAGTTGTGTCAGATCCATATCTTAGCAACACACAAGAACGTCCACAAGGTTATTTGATCACTGGCAGTGTTAATACATCAATTGTTATTCCAACAATTATTGCTAGTAAAATATGAAAAGAAAGTGACATAAAGGCTAAACTCCAGCATTTTAGGAAAAGGCATACTTGACTTTGAGAACAGTCCTTGATTTCACACTACCTTGATCTGGTCAAAGCTTTGCTCAGCACATCGGGATTCTTCAAATAAATTATGGAGTGCACTTCTATACTGTATGCTGTCATCTGAATGAAATATTAGTCATTTTGAATCTCAGTATGGGACATTTATTAAACCGTACAGAAAGCAAGATATCAAAGACCAGAACAGATGACCTAACAAGTGGAAATCCATTCCTCAGCCTTTCAGTAAGCCTACCCAGATTATATGAGCAATTTGCATGGTTGTCCGCTTTTTCTCTCTACCCCTTTTTCTTAGTTTCTGGAAATGCAGGATTAAGCCCGGGCTGCGTCCTCTACCGCACAGACCCAATAGGCCGAGGGCAGGGCGACGCCACTGGGCCTCGGCGCCCACCCGGTGCTAGCCAGGGGGGCTCCAGAGCCTGGGCCCTTCGGCCCGCCGCCCTCACTCACCCGGGGTGCGCTGCCCACTGCTAAGCGGGTGCCAAGGGTCTGGATCGGTGGCTACCAGCAGGCACCGCGGGTCGCGCAAATAGGCGCAGGCCTCGGAGAGCTTAGCGAAGGTGAACTGGTCGTCGTAGCCGACGACGACAGCGCGCACCGGGAGGGCCTCTCCGTCGCCTTCCCCTTCTTCTTCTTCTTCTTCTCCTTCTTCTCCGGTCAGCCGCAGCCCCGCGTCGCGCAGCTCCCCGCGCAGCCCTTCCCCGCCCAGCACGAAGACGCGGCCCGGGCTCGAGTCGCCGGCGCCAGCTTCCCCGCCCAGAAGGCGCTGGCGGAGGTAGAGCGCCGAGCAGAGAGCGGAGCTGAACACCTGCTCGCCGCGGACGCCGCGGAAGCCAAGGCGGGAGAAGCGGCGCTCCAGCTCGGCCACGGAGCGGCGGCTGTTGTTGGAGACAAACAGGGTGGTCTTCCCGTTCAGGTTCAGGCGCTCCAGCAGCTCCGGCGCGCCCGGAACCGCCCGATCGCCGGTCCACAGGACCCCGTCGCAGTCGAAGAGCAGCCCCTGCGCCTCCCCCAGCACCTCGCGCAGACAAGCGCCGCTCAGCCGCCTGCAGCCCGCCATGCTGGAACCGCACTCGCCGCCCCGCCCCCCGTCCTCCTGGCGGCGACGCAGCCAATCAGAAGCGCGCCGTTCCCTTGACGGGCTTAGGAAACAGGACCAATCAGATGCCTGAAGAGCCGGGGGCTCGACCCGGTTCGAACGAAACAGGGAAGATCTGAGGGTCGTCGTCCAATCACAGGAGCCGGTACGGCGAATGCATTAAAAGGGGAAGGGTGGAGTATTCGCCCGAGGTGCTCAAAGCGGGGCGGGCTGTGTTGCTCCATGGCAACCGGTTTACAAGCGAGAAAGAAAGAAGACACAAGACGGCGTTCTGAGCAAGACCCGTAAGGGGGCGCTCGTCTTCCTTTCTAACTGAGGAGCGGTAGGGGTAAAGTAGTATTTCCCCCGCCCCTGTAGCTTCAGCCCATTGGTGGAAGGAAACGAGGAAGAGGCGGGTCAAAATAAAGGGGCACGTGTTGCAAACCTGTTAGATAGAAAGATAAAGGCTCTTACAAATGAACGTTTGAAAAACTCACGTTACGGACCGTGGAAAAAAAAAAAAAAAGCCAGCGGGGCTTATAGGCAACAGAATTAAGAACCTGGTGAGAGAAAAGATGAAGGACGGTTAATTTACAGTGTTTCTCAACCTTGACAATAAATTCCGTACACCTGAAGTTGAGGGTCTTAAGGTGTCGGTCGTAACGACCGACACCTTACGACCCTCAACTTCAGGTGTACGGAATTTTAACAGTTCCAACTCTTTGTGACCCAATCTATTGTCGCCAAGAGTTGGATACCCAGCCCTGGGGTAAACCCCAGCTAGCTGGTAAAGTGCCCCCAGCGGTTCGTTCCCTGTCCGCCATTTTTTTTGTCTGCCATTTTTTTTCCCCTTTTCCGGCGGGTGCCTTACCTCCCTTGGGCTGGGCCAGCTGGTGGTTGGCCTGCTCCGTCTCTGCCGCTTGCCAGCTACGACTCGGCCGGCGCAGGGGTCGGAACCATGCATGCGCGGCGCTCCAGGGCAGGGAAAGTCCGCAACTTACGACCGGTTGGGTAGTCCTCGACTTACGACCGGTTTAGTCCTCGACTTACGACCGGTTGGGGGTTGTGGCATTAAAAAGGTTGAGAACCACTGGGTTAGAAGAACCTATTGCAGGCCCTGAGTGCGGAAGGAGGCGGAGTACCTGAGGACGGAGCAGTTTTCGGCGGGTTGCTTCTGGTGCCGTACGGAGGGATGTCTGTGGAGATGCTCACTCGTCCAGATCATGATCGTCTCAAAGGTGCTTTATCGAAAGGCAACTGGACTGTTTTTTTTCTTGAGGAGGACGTTTCGCTTCTCATCCAAGAAGTTTCATCGGTTGTGGCAGGATGGGGGTGGGGGTGGGAATGGAAGGATTAGCTCTGTCAAAATTGGAGTGGGGGGAGGGGTGAAAGGATCATGTTTCTTTGCGGTCCTCTGGTCGTTAGCTCTCTCCCTGAGAGCTCTTGAGGCCCCTTGGAGCAGTGTTTCTCAACCTTGACAATTTTAAGGCATGTGGACTTCAACTCCCAGAATTCCACAGCCAGCAATGCTGGCTGTGGAATTCTGGGAGTTGAAGTCCACATGCCTTAAAATTGTCAAGGTTGAGAAACACTGCCTTGGAGGGTTTATCTGTGCCCTCGGGGTCACCTGTATCAGAGTGCAAATGGGGGTGGTGGGGGTGGAATCTTCTTTTGGAAGTGCTGCAGGGTTTGCGTTGTCTTATCCCGTTCTGTCTTATCCCCCTCTGTTGAGAGATGGCTGCTCAACATTTATGTTAACATAAATGGCCTCTTTTACTCCTCTTTCAAACCAATGATCCTCTCTCTCCAGAATGTGGGCTTTGTGGTACAGAAGGACATTACCTTATAGGAAATTATACTCTAGTAGTCCTATCTACCTATATGTATGTCTATCCTCTTCATTGTTGTCATTGTCGTCATCTGATTTAAATAGTGCCCGTCTCATATATGTGACTCCTGTGCTGAACAAAATAGTACACCTTTTCAAGTAATGCAAAATACTGATTCCGTTTTCTTCCATGGAAGCTATTCTTGCTACCTTTAGAAAGCCCCCTGTTGGCAAACTGTATTCAAGAAGCTGGTTGAGGGTAAATGCCAGATAGTTGCTATAGAAACGAAGAGAATTGCCTGAGATACTGCTTTCACTTGTTTTCCTACTTTTTCCTCTGTGAAAAGAATAAAAAACAAGGTGACAGCATGTAGGAAAAGAAATGGCAGAACCTACAGGTGAAGTTAAAAGAAGAACCAGCCTAGAGTCTCAACTTAGTCACAAATGGACTAAGTCCAACTTCCCCTTGAATTCCATGGACCCTTATTTAACTCCAAACAGGTGCTAACCATTGGTTGAGAAGATTTCTGTGCATAGGCTGTTTAGCAATAAATCTGTTTAATTGGACCTTTGTGTGTGGACCTGGTCTTTCGTGCCTGACATAGATACAGGGTTGGGAAATAAAGCTTGAAAGCACATTCTAGCCATTTAAAGCATGCAGAAAAAATCTTGTTCTCCAGGAAAGGCCAGGGATTTGAACTCTTCAGCTGCTTCTGATGGGCCCATTTTTATTGTGTCAGCATGAATGCTTGCTGCATTTGTTCATTTTTTTTCTCTGTGTGTCATGTATGACCCAGGATTTTTATTATGCTCTTTCTTGTCTATTACAGTGTATTTGTTTTCTTACCAAAAGTTATATATTGCCTACACTTTTGATTTTATGGGGGGAAGTGTCTTTCAATTGCAATTTTATTTTATTTGCCTATCCTTTCCTTTGTTTTTCTTGAAGCAGTTCCTAAAAGTGAAAATTGATAAGGGTATTCATTGGCAATGTATTTATTAGACTTTATAATGTTACAAAACACCTTTTATCTCAATAAAACAAGAGCTGTATTTATCTTTGATACAGGCAAAATTGATACACAGTTTCTTTGATTTGCCTTTTGCCTATATGAACTATTTGGATCATCTTACATGAACTAGAGACATTCTTAAAATTGAGTTATAGATAAAATGTTTCTCCAACAAAATAACCACTTTTTAAAAGGGTAAGTATAATTCTCATAGATAGGATTAATGCAAGATGTATGGTATAACTGCAATAAGGAGAAGACAACATAATCTATCTTCTTTTAACATTTATTCAGAAGCTTCCACAAATGTTTTGTCAAAAATAATAAAAAAAGCAGAGTACTGTTAATGAAAAGCTATTTTGTGCTTTATAGATTGATAACAGAATCGTAGGAAAGTGAAGTATGTTGTATCAGACCACTGCTCCTGTACAGGGCTTGGATTCAAATATTGCATGAAGGACACCCTGTACTGATTGATGCTCTAATGTTTGTAAACAGGAGGAGAGGATTTTCTATTTATTTTTTTTGGGGGGGGGAGTTTGATTTAAATAGACCATACATAAGGGTCCCAAGAAACATGACTCTTGCACCTTGATGCACTTGGGGAACATTTAACAAAATACCAGGGCGAAAAGAATTGCAACAAATTGGATAGGCAAAAGCAAAGCCAGTAAAACTCTTCCTCTCAAACATTCTCCAGAGTTTCTACTTTCTGAGCAGCAGCAGATGGAGAGCTGATTTTTCCTTCATTGGCTTCTTTCTTTGTATGGATGGAATCTTTGGGAGTTTCTCTACTGCAGACATTAGTAGAATCCTCTTCAGCTGTAGCTGCCTTATTGTTCATAGCTTCTGAAGGAGGCCTAGGTGATGGTGGAGCTTTGTGACTCTGCCTTCTGGCTGGCTGGGGAGGAAGTGGGGGTGCCATAACTGGAGCTCGTGCTGGTCCCCCTACTGTTCTTCGAGGCAAGGCTTTAGGGATGGAGACAGACTCTGGAGAAGGAGGAGGCATGTGAAGATGAACAAGTGGTGTGGTTTGAGGATGGGGTGGAGGCATGGTAGGTCTGGGTGGAGCCACCCGCTTTGCTGTAAAGGAGAATGAAAGAAAAAAAAACACCAAAATCCCATATTTTAGACATTTTTTATTCTTACTCCTTGGTCTCAGCTTTGCATGAATCCAGAAAAACGCTGGCATATTTGATATAAAACTCTCTCTTAACTATTTTCTTTCTATGTACTTTCTCTGTATCTGTTTCTTAAACTTGAAATAAAATTATTTCTAAAAGTGCTGGATTTTGATATGTGTTATTTATATGTGGTTAACTGCACAAGGTGGTTCCTAACAATACCAGAATTGTGGATAAACTGAAATCTGTATTTAAGATAGATTATGCCCAACCTTATCAAACTGCAGTATGAATTTTCTATATATGTTTTCCCTCTATTTTATCTAGTCTTGTCACTTCAAAGCACATACAGAGCTATGCTCTAGTTAGTCATCCTTGACTATGCTATGAATTTTCTGAACAGGACAGTAAAACAAAAGACAGCTATGACTAGCAGAATGATATGGAGGTAAACAGAATAACACAGCCAACAAGTAGTATGTCATTGCATATTTTCAAACAGATAGCTTCCAACTCTGTCAATCAAAATATATTGTGCCACTATTCCATTATTCCTTAAGTATCAGTATAAAATGTTATCATCAGATCTGTCTAAAATTCTAAGGAACACCGATTGCACAACTAAAACCTTTTGAATCTCCCATGCCACAAACAATGCTTTCATAATACAAAATAGTACCACTGTCTTGTATTTAATGAGTGTATCTTGCTACAATCCCATTTGAAGCATTTTTTAAATAACACAAAATTAGAGCTTGTGAGGACACTATATACAACACATAAAAATGCATTGTGGAGAAATGCAAAACATGCAGTGATTTGGGAACATTGGCAGCTGGTGTCAATAGGAGAGGCAAAATGATTACTATAGTAGTACTATGAAACTTACTTTTTCGTGAGGTCTCATCAGCAGAAGCAGAGGTAGGTGGGCAGATTGTTGTTTCAGTAGAAGACTCGGTCACTTTTGAGGACACTGTTTCTGGAATAACTTCAGATTTTTTCCTGTCAATGTGGAAAAGTCTTATAAACTCTCATTTGTAGGCTTCCAAAAGCAATTAGTATACAGAGAAATTCCAGAGATACTTTCCATTCTTAATCCTTTGATATCAACCACAAACCATTAAAATAGTGGCTCCCCTGTATTCCAGGAAGATTACAGTGGAGTTTTTATTCCCTTCAGTGAGCAGTGAAGAACAGCTGAAATTTGCTTTGTGCATTCCAGAGAAGAATAAGTCATAAAAATTGGCTCCAGAGTTATGTTTTCTTCTTTTCTCTTTTCCTAATGTTTTTTTCTTTGGGATTATTTTTTTAATGTAGGCTTGAGGGAGGGACTATTAGTCCTGCTTTTTATATGCTACTGACTTGTTAGTAAAGTGATGGTGAAACTTTTAGAGACCGAGTGCCCAAACTGCAACCCAAAACCCACTTATGTATTGCTGGGTGCCGGGTAGGTGTGGCCCATTGGGTAGGTGTGGCCCATTGGGTGGGTGTGGCCCATTGGGTGGGTGTGGCTTCGGTGGTAATGGCAGACTGGATAGGACTAAAAAGTTCAATCAATGAATTCCAACTTTGTGAGATCTTTTTTTTCCCGCAAGAAGTTGAAATTGACTGAACCTTTTTTTTTTTGTACATTGCGGCGGAGACCTAAAGCAAAAAGGTTTTATAAAACCCAGCTGAAGGCCTAGGACTGGGGCGACGGTGTGCGTGCCCACAGAGAGGGCTCTGTGTGCCACCCGTGGCACGCGTGCCATAGGTTCGTCACCACGGTGTTAGTACAAAGTCAGGTTAAAATGCATACAATCATATCCTATTTCATAATGATGGTTGGAGAAAGCCGCCTTCTCTGGAGTGTTTTTCCTGTAAGCATCAACAATATGGCTGCACAAGCAGCACATGCCAGAGCAAGCTAAAGTAACATAGAGTAGCTTATGATTGGTTAGGTTTTTATTAGAAACCCAGCCATCATCTTAGAGTAGGATATAAAGCAGATCATTATGTTAAGCCAGTGATGGCGAACCTTTTAGAGACCGAGTGCCCAAACTGCAACCCAAAACCCACTTATGCATCGTCGGGTGCTAGGTGGGTGTGGCCCATTGGGTGGGCGTGGCCCATTTGGGCATGGCTGCAGTGGTAATGGCAGACTGGGTGGGACTAAAAAGTTCAATCAATCAATTCCAACTTTGCGAAATCTTTTTTTTTCCGCAAGAAGTTGAAATTGACTAATTGAACCTTTTTTTTTTTTTGCACACGACAGCGGAGGCCTAAAGCGAAAAGGTTTTATAAAACCCAGCTGAAGGCCTAGGACTGGGGTGACGGTGCGCGTGCCCACAGAGAGGGCTCTGAGTGCCGCCTCTGGCACCCGTGCCATAGGTTCGCCACCACTGTGTTAAGCTGTAAGACAATTAGCTTATGTATAGTATGTTATTGTAGGTATAGTGATTATTTGATTCCTCCTTTATTATTTTTACAAATGTTTTATTAAGCAAGGTTTAGACTTATACCCGGTCTATTTGTAACTATTGTGTTAAATCAGGGGTGTCAAATTGCCGGCCCACGGGCTGGATGCATCATGCCAAAACTGTGCCCACCCCATTGCCAGCAATGGAAAAAAGTTGCGATATGTCGCGACACGTCACGTGATGTTGGAGTTTGATACCCTTGTATTACATAAACTGCAGCAGTGTCCTGTTGTGATAGGAGGTAAATGGGCACATTGCATCACTAAAAAGAACTGTATCTGAATAAAAATTGGATAACAGAAGTTCCATGTTTTCTAATTGAAACATATTGCTACAATTTTTTTGAGGAACTGATATAACTGAAAAAAGTACAATGTATTCAATCCATATTAGAGCAACTGTGACCACATGCTCTGTATGTATATTTATGCTGCTGTCCAGATGCTAAGTCAGATGAATACTTTCATGGTCTTTTTATTCACAACATTCTTGGTAGGAAAGTGCAACACCTTCCATTTCTCCTTTGGACCACACTGTTCTAGCCATCCTGGACCAGCCATTTTCCACAAATTAATCTTCCAAACTAGAAACAATTTTCCAATCATGGTCCAATTTCATTTCAGCATAACTTTTGATATGGTACAGAGGAAGACTGGTAGGTTTTATCAATACCCAGTTCTTTATTCTGAAATCAGACTTGGACCAGACAAGCCCAACAGAAGAAGATATCTTCAAATGGATACCACTCTAGCTGGAAGGCTGAGTGAATTTTTTTAAAAAACTGAAACTGGGGTGGGGGAAGTACAAACAGATAAGGAGCATAGCTGAAGGTTATAGCAGTCTATGTATACCTTTCTTCAGGCATAGGGGAATTAGATTCAGAAGGCAGAAACACTGCTGAAGGTTCTTCTATTGTGAGGATGTTTTGATTTTTGATGTCTAATGGAGGAGTGAACAGACTGGAGACATCGAAGTTAATATCTTAAGGAAAAAAGAAAAAAATGCATGAGATAGTGTGAGTGTCTAAAAGCTATTATAATGTTCTGCAATTATCTCTAGCAGCACAAGGTTCATCTCTGATTTCTTCCACCTCTTTGTTTCTCATAAGATTTATTAGTGCTCTAATACAGAATAGTCAATTCATGCAAAGTCAAGAAGAGACAGCCTGGCTAAAAGTCAGAAATCTGTGACTCTTCCCTCCAAAGCCCTTAAAAGTTAATGCCAAGAGCCAGGTATTTAAATTGCTAAAAGGCACTATCTGTTCATTTATCTACTTTTTGATTAAGAAAGCACCTCCCATCTAGGATCTAGGTTTAGCCCTGGAGAAAGGTAATACATTTGGCTGAAATACCATGATGACGTTCAACGCATAATTTAATGAAGTGCCTTGGAGGTTCCTTTGAGAAGAGTTGGTAACTGCATATAAAACATACTCGATAAAAATCATCCACATGCAGCTTCTGCATCTCGCATTGATTTGAGCTCTCCCCCAAAATGGCTCAGATATACTAATTTTTTATCCCTATATCTTTAAAAGTGTGAAATATTTTTAAACCCATCTCTCTATCCACCTTTATAAAGAACCTCATTTTTAAATATTAAACATTATTTATATAAATTATATATTTTATTTGCTCCAAAGAAGCACAAGTTAAGAACTCCTGCGCGCACGCGTGCACGCACACACACACACACACACATTTTGCAGCTCTTATTGTAACACTGGATAGCAAAACTCTTGCTATTGAAACTTGCATGGCAAAGAGAAATACAGTACATGAATGATATTATTGCAATGCATAGTTACTCCATAAAGCACATAGAGATTTCTTTTTTGTAGGGACTAATGAATTCACAGAATCATTTACTAATTCCATTTTCCAGTCTCCCTAAGCCATCCTTTTCAACTTGATACCGACTACATGTATCTGCTTAGAAGCTGTGTACTTCTCAGGTCAAACGGGAATCTTTTTTCTTAAACACAATGGAGGACCTTTCTCCTAGAGTCGTAAAACATACTCTCCAAGGTGTTGAGGGTGTTGAACCTACCTCCTACGGCTTCGATACAGATCGACGTGAACCCTGGACCCTCTTTCTTCGGTTCTTGTTGTGACTCGTCTAAGACTTCGGTGGAGGATATATTAAAATTTGCCCTAATCTGCCTTGCTTATCTTTACAGGTATGCTTCACCAACATGTCAGCATATAAATACTAGACTCTTCTGCTTGATCTCTGAACATCTAATAAGATTTAACCTGATTGCAACAAGTGCACATATATAATTTAATAATACTATCCTCTCCATCTGGGTGATTACTTTTCATATTTATGTTGTATTAAACAGGAGGTGATACGATAAAGCTATCATTGTTAAAATATATATTGATATATATTAATTCCCTGAAAATAGGAAATATATCTCAGTATTGGTTGCTCCTGAAAATGTGTAGGACGGTGTGCAGTTATGTCTTCCATAAGGATTCCCATCTGTTTCTGGTTGGTAACTTTAAAAACAGAACATTAGGTTGAAAGCACTGCTGTTCATATGTGTTTTCTGGAGAACCGATTAAAACCTAATTTGAAAAATATTAACTGATTTAAGGGGGGAAGCAATTGGATTTCCCCCCTTCATTTTGGCAAGGAATGCTCATTCAGTTTCTTTCATTTCTTGAGAGGTTTGAGAAATGCTATATAAAAATATAGAGTGAAAGAAATAAATATTTCACACACAAGCACACACACAGTTTCTCACATTAGGAGAGCCGGCAGTGACACAAAAAACTGAAGACAGTTAAAAGGCTGACAGCTGCTTTGGAGCTGTGGCTGGAGAGATACAGAAGAAGCTGATAATTGTCAAACTAAGTAGGATTTAGGTAGTTTTGATTGGTGAAGAAGTGCAGATTCCAAGATGGACTGAGGAAGATTGCCAAGGAGTTCCAAGGTGAATAGGAAGATCACCAAAGATGGAGAAGGATGTGACATAGGATCACGCAAACTCTGTACAGATGACCACAGGCAAAAGTTGATTGAAGGCCAGCAGTATTCCACTAGCTACAAAAGACTGCCAACTAGGAGTAATTACTGCCGCTGATTAAGGTAGAAATTACCCATAGTTATACACAGAGACATATTCTATAAGGAATATATTGACAGTATCATTACTTTAGGCAAGGAATTATTTAATAGCTTAACTAATTATTTATGAAGTTATTTACAACTTTTTACTTTATATCTAATTCTTGGATAGCTGAACTTGTGCATGGGAGTTGGGAAGGAGATCGGTTTATGTATCTGCTTAAACTACAAGCCACTTACTGGTTTGGCATGGCTGAAAAAGAAATTAAGACTTTCTTCTCTATATTGCAAATAAAGAAAAAGTTCTCAATAAGGTCTCTTAATGAGGAACATTGAAACCTCAAAAATTAAATTGCTGTAATGACATTGTTGTAGTGATGAAAAAAGTTGCACTTTCCAAATGTTTCCCAGTTTTAAAAGAATTTGCCCTAGATGACTTTCTTTATCCATCCTATGGGTCCCCAGTTGTTTTGTGCTACAGTTCCCAACAGTAATGCTACTAACTAGGGAGTAATGAACGTTATAATTTAGTGCATCTGATGCATAGTACCAAGCTTGGAAGAGAGTAACATTTATCATTTTTGTTACAACATATTACATAGATAGAATGTGTGAGGTATTTCTCAATAATTCATTATTGAATATACTATATCCGTGGTGGCAAACCTATGGCACGCATGCCATAGGTGGCATGCAGAGCCCTCTCTGTGGGCACACGCACCATCGCCCCAGTCCTGGGCCTTCAGCTGGGTTTTATAAAACCTTTTTGCTTTAGGCCTCTGCCATCGTGTGCAAAAAAAAAAAGGTTCAATCAATCAATCAATCAATTTCAACTTCTCGCAGGAAAAAAAAAGATCTCGCAAAGTTGGAATTGATTGATTGAACTTTTTAGTCCCACCCAGGTGCCATTACCACTGCAGCCACGCCCACCCAATGGGCCACACCCATCCGGCACCCAACGATATATAAGTGGGTTTTGGGTTGCAGTTTGGGCACTCGGTCTCTAAAAGGTTCACCATCACTATATGTACTATATACTATATGAAACATACAGAGTATATTGTCTTCTGAGACATTTACCTTTCATTCTGCTGGGGCCACAGTAGGTTGGGTCCTAGGACAATGGCAATGTTGCTTGGGGACATTTTATTCACTTCTTGTTGTTCAGCCAGCATGGCTAAAAAACGAATCAGATACCTACAAAGAAAGAGTGCTTTGTAAAAGCAAAACTCAATGCCTTGATTTTCTTAGGATTCTCAGGTTTTTCTATTGAATTTCAACTAGAACAAAAGATGATGTTTGACCTATCATAGAAAGGCAGGGAGGAGAAAAGCTTTACATCTTCGTTTAAGTAAGCCTATAAGCCAATTTTCTGAATTAAGGCAGTGAACACATAAAAATACGAACATTCAAGAATGTTATTATATCTATATAAATAAAAATGTAAATGTTCGTTTGTTCAAAATCTTAAATCTCCGAAAGTTCTTCACCAATTGCTTTGAAATTTTGACACAACGTTGCATTCGAATACGCGCGTGTTTTTATATACCTACTATTATATAGATGTCACACCTGTGACAGGTAAAAACATGACTTTTTTTAAAAAAACAGCGCCATCTGTTGGACATAAATTTAACCAGACTGAGCCACAGCAACGCGTGGCCGGGTACAGCTAGTATTATAATAAAATTTAAAATTGATCCTTGAAAGTTCTAAAAATGTATAGCTGTGTCACACCTCAGATTGTTGTAGTTGTCCTTGGGAAGAAGATTACAAACATCCTTGAGGCCCTCTAGTCGAATGTCTGGCTCTTTGGCACTGAAAAAGAAGAGTGAAGAAGAAAAAAGGGTGTGATATTTTTTTTTTTTGAGGCAGAAAAGGGAGGCCAGAACATAGCACTTGTGAGAATTTCTCATACTATTTCTTATTGCCTAGTAGTGAAGGACAATGTAATCAGATTCTGGCTGTATTTCTTCTCATTTACATCCTCTAAGGCAGGGCTTTTCAACTGGTGATACGTGTACCACTGGTGGTACTTCGGCACCTGGCAGGTGGTACGCAATCTAAACAAGTGTAGTGGGGGGGGATGAACTGAAGCAACGGCAGTGCCATGAGCTGAAGTGGCAGAAGTGCCACACAGGCCTGGGGGAGAGTCAGCTGGAACTGCGGTGTTGCTAGGGCTCTGCTGAGGGTCCAGGATCGGTGTGCATGGCTCCAGTTGATAGGGGCTTCCGGCAGCCTCTGCTATCACCGGGAGCAGCAGAAAGGCCTTGGGGTGAAAGAGTCAGCTGGAGCTGCAGGACTGCTGGGACCCCAGGATTGGCATTCATGACTACATGCTGATTGGCACTTCCGGCGCACCCAGAAGAGATGGGGGGGAGAGAGGAGAGGATATAAAAGGAGGAGGTTTTGGCGGGAGAGGGAGAGAAAAAAAAGATGATGGAGAAAGCGAAGGGGACGAAGAAAGAGAGGGAGAAGAGGAGAGGCTTCTGTGAGACGAGCAGAGGGATCAATGAAGGAGCAAAGGCTGTGGAAGGAAAGCCCAGCAGGCAGTGAAAGAGAGAGAGAGGAGAGGGAAAGAAGAAGAAGAACCAACCAGTCACTTGACCACTAAGGTAGTGTGCATATTGTTAAATATGAATAAATTCATCATACATTATCAGTGCAAAGAGAAAGTGATTCAGCAAACTTCCACCGAAGAAATTAAAACCAGTACTTTTTTCCTTTTTTTCTTTTTTGGTCATCAAGTTTTTGACACCTCGCTAAGCACTGGTAAAATATTGTCATGTCCTAAAAGTGGAACAATCTGTGAAAAGGCTGAAAAGCACTGCTCTAAGGCTTCTCAGCAGTGGCGTAGCGTGGGTTGTCAGCACCCGGGGCAAGGCACCCCCCCTCCACAGTGGGCGGCGTCGGCGACCCGGCGGCTCGGATCGGATTCGCACAGCCAGCACTGCAGAGAGAGTGAGTGAGCCAGGCAGGGGCAGAGAGCTGCGAGTGCGAGCGCGCCCCCCCCCAGATGTTGCGCCCAGTGCGGCCGGCCCCCCCTGCACCCCCCACGCTACACCTCTGCTTCTCAGATATGGATGGAGCAATCCTCTTTAGCAATAGCAATAATACTTGGATTTAAATACCACTTCATAGTGCTTTACAGCTCTCTTCAAGTGGTTTACAGAGTCAGCAAATTGCCCCCAACAATCTGGGTCCTCATTTTACCAATCTTGGAAGAATGAAAGGCTGAGTCAACCAGCCAGAATCGAACTGCTGGCAGTCGACAAAATTAGCCTGCAATACTGCATTCTAACCACTTTGCCACCACAGCTTTCTTTAGCTCTCAGTTGGTGGAAGCACCTGGCTGAGCTTCTCTGAGTATAGAAGCTAAACAATTTGGGTGAGTCTTCTTAATATTTGCAAGAAAATAGATGTTATAACTATTTTCCCAATGTAAACAAGGGGGTATTCGTTTGTCAGATAAATAAAACTCAACCAAAGACTGAAAAAAAATATAGTGCGCTTAAGTCCATTTTTCTATTTCCAACTCACCTGGCAGCTTTCAGCCAATCATCATAGAGTTCAGAGATCATCAACGGCTGTGGCAATTCTCGTAAGTAACATTTTAGTGCACCTGGAAGCAAGGAAGTATGTTTCTGACACAGTATGACTGCCCAGCTGTAAACAAGATGTAAATTACCTGGTATGTGTCTAATGTTCAATATTATGAATATTGTAGCCAATGACCAGAGTTTGGGAACTGTTTTCCAAACTATCTAAAGAACCTTAAGTTGTTTACTGCTGTCTGAGAGAAAGATAGAATTATGCTGTGCAAAGATGCCACAATTAATGATGTTCTAAATAAATGCTTTGCTTTCCTGTGAAGCAGCAAGGTAAGGCTGCTTAGAAGCTTGGAGGTGGGAGAACTGTGTGCTTTGCTTCTCTGTTTTGCTCTACTGAAATTTCACTGAAAAGCCTCTTTGAAGATCTGTACAGTTCTGTTGATCACCTACCTGCCACAGCATGAGGGTCTACGTAGAATTCATCCGGAATATTTGAGCCACTGTCAAGACAGTATTTTAGTTTCTTCAGCACAGAAGCTCCAGCTGCCAGCCGGAAGAGCCCCTAAAAGAAGAAACAAAAATAAGAGAGAAGCCAGAAGGTCTATGGCAAATGAATAGCTGGACAGAGGGGGGCACCTACCTCTTCCCGCATACCTGTGCTCAACAGCATCATAACACAGGCTTCAATGGGAAGTGCAATCTCTCGCTCAGAAGCCTTCAGGTGAGTTTCTAATGGCATTCCATACACCCCTGGTACAGCTGCATCTAATGGAAAAGGGGCATCTAAACAAGGAAGGAGGAGGAGTAATGACAAAGATTAAAGACAGTTAGAACAATTAATCAGTGGAACAACCTGCCTCCAGAAGCTGTGAATGCTCCAACACTGGAAGTCTTTAAGAAGAGATTGGACAGCCATTTGTCTGAAATGGTATAGGGCTTCCTGCCTGGGCAGGGGGTTGGACTAGATGACCTCCAAAGTCCCTTCCAACCTTATTATTATTAAAGAATGTTTGACTGTTAATTTCCAGAGTCATCTCCTCTCTGCTGTTCCGGGCTAATATCAGGCTTTTTTGATGGCCGAAGCCATTTCTAGCCGACTACCACAGATTAATGCAAACATCAGTTAAGAAGGACCCCATCTAAGCAGAGGAGAGAATGTCCCTGCCAAAAGTATTAATGTTCAGTTCCACATACTGTATTTGCAGCCCTTTCTTTTTAATATTCCCAAAGCTCTGGCTGAATAATTATAATTTATTTATTGCTAATGTGTCATGCCAAAAAATGCATCTCAAGTTGTACCTGACTCGTTTTGAGAACTCATTAGCTCTGCCAACGTAGAATTTAGAGATTCCAGAGACTTCTGATGATACTCTGCCTGGATTTCCAACAACTGCCACAGAGAAACATGCAAGCAGAATTGTAATTCTAATTAGTATTTTTTCTACAAGTCTTGTCTATGGAGAGATGAAATTTTCAGAAGTTATGACATGTGATTTTCAAAATATAAGTAGAGTAGTTAAGAAAAGGAATTAAATCTTACTTTGATAAAGTATTTAGCATAGCTGTCCTCCTTGGTTGAAAAATGATATAAATCAGCCATATATTCATCCTGGAACAGTATTGGGAAGTATTACACTTTGACATAGTCATGAAAAAATAAGCATAAGAATTCATCATTATATTTCCTGACATTCATTCAATGCAGCAGGATTTCCCAGTCAAGGCAGCCTTGACATGTGGACTTCAACTCCCAGAATTTACCATGGCTATCTGGAGAATTCTGGGAGTTGAAGTCCATGCATCTTAAAATTGCCAAGATTGGGAAACTCTGTATTACAGCATTAACAAACTCCTAATACAGATAGGGAGTATACTTGTAGTGTACTTCTAGAATGTAACTGCATGGCTCTGAGGATACATGTATGCAGCTAATGGAAGTCAACAAAGTCTTTTGCTTCTATTGCATCGGCAATGTTCTAGGTACCACTGAAGATCCGATCTCATTACTCTACGTCCTCAAAACGTTATCAGAATAAAATCGTTAGTCCATCCAAAACCCCACTGTTAGTAATCTTTGATCAAACCGTAAAACTCGAGTGAACACCTTCGATAGGTTATGTGTTATCTTAACTAACATCTCTGACCAAGGTAGTGATCTGTTATTAAACACAACCAATCTGAAACTATATCAACACTCTATTCTTTCCAGTTTATTTTTAAATTATTTCTCAGCTCTCCTGTACTTGATGAATTTCTTACACAAATATGTTTCTTTATTCCAGAATTGAAGAGTGGACTAAGATAAATCAATAAATTCTTGATCAAGCTGTTTCTATGTATAAGTACCTTACTCTGCTCAACCCTCCTCTTCATCTCCTCTTCCTCCTCCTTCAGATTCTCCAACTTTAAGGCAGCTGAGGAGGCTCCTGAAGTTGTGACAGCACTGACACTGTTACTGGAATTCTTGGCAACTTGGTTTAAACTGCAATTTAAAAAAAACAGGAAGATTTGATGGTATTTCAAAATTAGGAAACAGGATACATTTGATATGGAAGATTTTCTTAATAATCAGAGTTTGAGCTGTTATTGTGAGACCTAAGATTGGAACTCTGGATGCAAACTTCCATGTGATGCTATATTTCTTGTGGAGTGGGAAGCCCAAACTGTTTTAACAGCAGTTTGTGTAGTGCAATGTTTTGAGTGCCAGACTAGAACTAGGGAGGCTTGAGTTCAAATCTTGGCTGATTGAGAAAGCTTATTGCACAGGTGAACAACCAATACCATCCAGTTTATTTATTCTGTATAACTTGGCAATTTCATGCAATCTAAACTTAAGGATAAATCACCAAATTTAGATGGTACAAATTTTGTAGGTCCTTTTTTAAAAATAAAAGAGGTAAATTAATTCCCCCAAGACATAAAACAAGCCAAGAAGATGTTATTTTTCTACTAACATCACTATCACATTCTTGTAACACTTGGATACAAACTCTAATAAAAAAATTCTTGTCCAAGCTTACTGAGTGGCTGTGGGTTGTTTTATTTCACACTGTTGTAAGAATAAAAGGGGAGATGGGAAGAAATCTTTCTGATTCTTTTCATTGTTTAGAAATAAGGAAAAATAAAAATGAGACAAGAATGGAACACTTAAGAGATTCCTTCATAACATATATATATACAGTATATAACATTATTCCAAATCAAGCCATTAATTGGGCAATGACTTTCCCTTTTAGCCTTTGGCATACCCTGGATAGCATAAGAGCACTATAGGCATTGTTTTAGTGGGGGTTTTGTATGGGGTACTTTTAGAGCAGGCCTGTTATTTAATTTGATTTTAGAACAGAAACTTGTGTATATTTATCGTGGTTTTTATTATCGCCTGTTCACCACCCTGAGTCCCGTAAGGGAGATAGGGCGGTATATAAATTCAATAAATAAATTGCTGGACGGTCACTTTCTTTTAAGTAAATGGAATGTGAATTATATCTATCTACAGATGGAAAGTTGCAACTAATCAGTATTATTTCTAATGCTCAGTAATGTGTTCTATCTTGATTATTCCTTAGTTCATCCCAACACAGTATCAGAAGTAGTAAAGTGACTTTGTATTTATACCACTCATATTACAATATCTGTATGTATATCCATACAATTCTTATGTCCCAAAATACAGTACATGTATCCACTTGAACACAAGATGAAAATGTTGGGCGGAAGGCCTTTCCATTAAAATAATTTGGTAATTGGGAACCTGAAAGAGGAACAACGCTACACTCCCTGTCACATTTGTGTGTGTAAACATGACTCTTTATGGCCATTGCTCTGCACTGATAGTGGACTTCTGGAAATGCCATAAATAACATTACTTTTTCCTGGTACACTTGAAAGAGGCAGAACAAAAATCTAAACATTAGTATTTTGACCTTATGATACTAACGTATATGATGGATTTATGGAGGCTAAAACCAGATAGGCCCTTATGCAATATAAGAGAATATGGTTTATTTTTTCAGTTAGCAAACATAGCAGTGAAACACTTTACTGATGTGAATATGATAGCAAGCAGTTACTAACTGAAAAGACATCTAAGAACATGAAAGCCATTTCTAACAGCCTTGAGAATTTAGTTTTCTATTACTGACATGGATTAATGGCAATTGTCTAACATTTGCAGCTGTTTTTCTTGTCTAATCTGGAAATGGCAAGTGTTGATGCTGAGATGTACTACATGCAAAGTAGGAGTTCCACCACTGAGCAATTGCCTCTCCTTAATCCATGCATTTGCTTAGAAACATTAAATAATTTATGCAAGTCAGCACGGAAAACAAATAGTAATATAAGACATACGGAAAGTGGGACTCCCAAATTGAAATACAGTTGAACAGGCATGTAGGGGATAATCTATTTGTGCAGCTTTCCCCAACCTGGCATCTCTTAAATATCAGTACAGGTAGTCCTTACTTAACGACTGCTGGTTTGCAATCATTCAACATGACAGTGCTATTATAACTGATCCCCAACGTGACTATTATTTGAGAACTTCAAAGATGGCTTCTGATAAAGTCAATAGGGAAGCCTGTAGAAAGTTGCAAGTTGCAATCATATTACATCATGCTTAATGACTGAGGATGATTCACTTAACAACTGCAGTTGCCAACTTCTGTAAGTCAATATGCTTACATGACATTTCATTTTATGACCATGCCATTTATTGATGGAGTTACTGGTACCAATTGCAGTCATTAAATGAGGACTATAATATGCCACTGGCCATGCTGACTGAGTAATAGGAAGTACAGTATAGTATATCTGGTAATAGATTACAAAATGATACCTTAAAGATTTGAAGTAGTTTTGAAGTGCTAAACTGTATTTTGTCCAAACATAGCTTCTTTCAGTTGACAGTGATTGCAATATATCATAAGCCTTAAACCATCATTTAGAAACCATTGTGGCTAGTTCACACAAACCTAAACCTAAACTTCAAATCTAAGAAAATTATAATTCAAGATGTTAAATTAGTCAGTGCGTAAAGGCTTTGGATGGCGGAGGTCTTGTTGCCAAGGTGATGTTATCAAAAACACAACAACAAGCCCCTGGTAAAACATGAGCTACATTTCAAGAGACTTTTCCCCATCACTCCCTTTTAAAGATTTCATTGAGCCCTCCCCATTTTTCTATTTCATTACATCTCCCCAGTACCGGCTCTTGATGATGTTCCAATCCAAAATAAGTTTCTGAAGGTTCTTTTTGTGTTTCAGGATGACAGGCAGCTCTTCCTAGAAGAGGTTGGGATGAAGGAGTTAGGGACGGTTCACACTAGCATCAGCTCCCATAAGCATCAGTAACTTTTAACTAATAAATTTTTCAATGGTCTTTAGATACATCCAGATATAATAATACTAATGATAATAATGCCAAATCCAGTCTAAACATTTGACTGTTATATTATTATGTGAGCAACCACAATAATAATAAAGTATAATGGCCAGACATAATGGCAACAAAGATACTTTGCAATATCTTATTATTATTATTATTATTATTATTATTATATTTGGATTTATATCCCGCCCTTCTCCTCGCGGACTCAGGGCGGCTGACAATCAATTAAAATACATAAATAACAATTACAAATTTAAAATTAATTAAAAGAAATATTTAAACATTTGTCCAATTAAAATATAATTAAAACCCCTCTAAAAATTACCCTAGGCCAGTCCNCCCGGGCCCTCCAGAGATCATTAACCAGCGTGACCAATGCCGTTTCCGTGCTGTACCCCGGCCTGAAGCCCGACTGGAGGGGGTCCAGATAATCTGTTTCCTCCAGGTGCCGAGGGAATTGCTGTGCAACCACACTCTCAACAACCTTCGCCACAAAGCGAAGGTTGGAGACTGGGCGATAGTTGGCCAATACATCTGGGTCCAGGGAAGGCTTCTTCAGGAGGGGTCTCACCACCGCCTCCTTTAGGATCGCGGGGAATTGAAGAGTGGACTAAGATAAATCAATAAATTCTTGATCAAGCTGTTTCTATGTATAAGTACCTTACTCTGCTCAACCCTCCTCTTCATCTCCTCTTCCTCCTCCTTCAGATTCTCCAACTTTAAGGCAGCTGAGGAGGCTCCTGAAGTTGTGACAGCACTGACACTGTTACTGGAATTCTTGGCAACTTGGTTTAAACTGCAATTTAAAAAAAAACAGGAAGATTTGATGGTATTTCAAAATTAGGAAATAGGATACATTTGATATGGAAGATTTTCTTAATAATCAGAGTTTGAGCTGTTATTGTGAGACCTAAGATTGGAACACTGGATACAAACATCCATATGATGCTATATTTCCTGTGGAGTGGGAAGCCCAAACTGTTTCAACAGCAGTTTGTGTAGTGCAATGTTTTGAGTGCCAGACTAGAACTAGGGAGGCTTGAGTTCAAATCTTGGCTGATTGAGAAAGCTTATTGCACAGGTGAACAACCAATACCATCCAGTTTATTTATTCTGTATAACTTGGCAATTTCATGCAATCTAAACTTAAGGATAAATCACCAAATTTAGATGGTACAAATTTTGTAGGTCCTTTTTTAAAAATAAAAGAGGTAAATTAATTCCCCCAAGACATAAAACAAGCCAAGAAGATGTTATTTTTCTACTAACATCACTATCACATTCTTGTAACACTTGGATACAAACTCTAATAAAAATATTCTTGTCCAAGCTTACTGAGTGGCTGTGGGTTGTTTTATTTCACACTGTTGTAAGAATAAAAGGGGAGATGGGAAGAAATCTTTCTGATTCTTTTCATTGTTTAGAAATAAGGAAAAATAAAAATGAGACAAGATTGGAACACTTAAGAGATTCCTTCATAACATATATATATATAACATTATTCCAAATCAAGCCATTAATTGGGCAATGACTTTCCCTTTTAGCCTTTGGCATATCTTGGATAGCATAAGAGCACTATAGGCATTGCTGGACGGTCACTTTCTTTTAAGTAAATGGAATGTGAATTATATCTATCTACAGATGGAAAGTTGCAACTAGTCAGTATTATTTCTAATGCTCAGTAATGTGTTCTATCTTGATTATTCCTTAGTTCATCCCAACACAGTGTCAGAAGTAGTAAAGTGACTTTGTATTTATACCACTTATATTACAATATCTGTATGTATATCCATACAATTCTTATGTCCCAAAATACAGTACATGTATCCACTTGAACACAAGATGAAAATATTGGGCGGAAGGCCTTTCCATTAAAATAATTTGGTAATTGGGAACCTGAAAGAGGAACAACGCTACACTCCCTGTCACATTTGTGTGTGTAAACATGACTCTTTATGGCCATTGCTCTGCACTGATAGTGGACTTCTGGAAATGCCATAAATAACATTACTTTTTCCTGGTACACTTGAAAGAGGCAGAACAAAAATCTAAACATTAGTATTTTGACCTTATGATACTAAAGTATATGATGGATTTATGGAGGCTAAAACCAGATAGGCCCTTATGCAATATAAGAGAATATGGTTTATTTTTTCAGTTAGCAAGCATAGCAGTGAAACACTTTACTGATGTGAATATGATAGCAAGCAGTTACTAACTGAAAAAACATCTAAGAACATGAAAGCCATTTCTAACAGCCTTGAGAATTTAGTTTCCTATTACTAACATGGATTAATGGCAATTGTCTAACATTTGCAGCTGTTTTTCTTGTCTAATCTGGAAATGGCAAGTGTTGATGCTGAGATGGACTACATGCAAAGTAGGAGTTCCACCACTGAGCAATTGCCTCTCCTTAATCCATGCATTTGCTTAGAAACATTAAATAATTTATGCAAGTCAGCACGGAAAACAAATAGTAATATAAGACATACAGAAAGTGGGACTCCCAAATTGAAATACAGTTGAACAGGCATGCAGGGGATCATCTATTTGTGCAGCTTTCCCCAACCTGGCATTTCTTAAACATCAGTACAGGTAGTCTTTACTTAACGACTGCTGGTTTGCAATCATTCAACGTGACAGTGCTATTATAACTGATCCCCAACGTGACTATTATTTGAGAACTTCAAAGCTGGCTTCTGATAAAGTCAATAGGGAAGCCTGTAGAAAGTTGCAAGTTGCAATCATATTACATCATGCTTAATGACTGAAGATGATTCACTTAACAACTGCAGTTGCCAACTTCTGTAAGTCAATATGCTTACATGACATTTCATTTTATGACCATGCCATTTATTGATGGAGTTACTGGTACCAATTGCAGTCATTAAATGAGGACTATAATATGCCACTGGCCATGCTGACTGAGTAATAGGAAGTACAGTATAGTAAAGATTTGAAGTAGTTTTGAAGTGCTAAACTGTATTTTGTCCAAACATAGCTTCTTTCAGTTGACAGTGATTGCAATATATCATAAGCCTTAAACCATCATTTAGAAACCATTGTGGCTAGTTCACACAAACCTAAACCTAAACTTCAAATCTAAGAAAATTATAATTCAGGATGTTAAATTAGTCAGTGCTTTAAGGCTTTGGATGGCGGAGGTCTTGTTGCCAAGGTGATGTTATCAAAAACACAACAACAAGCCCCTGGTAAAACATGAGCTACATTTCAAGAGACTTTTCCCCATCACTCCCTTTTAAAGATTTCATTGAGCCCTCCCCATTTTTCTATTTCATTACATCTCCCCAGTACCGGCTCTTGATGATGTTCCAATCCAAAATAAGTTTCTGAAGGTTCTTTTTGTGTTTCAGGATGACAGGCAACTCCTCCTAGAAGAGGTTGGGATGAAGGAGTTAGGGACGGTTCACACTAGCATCAGCTCCCATAAGCATCAGTAACTTTTAACTACCGGTAATACATTTTTCAATGGTCTTTAGATACATCCAGATATAATAATACTAATGATAATAATGCCAAATCCAGTCTAAACATTTGACTCTTATATTATTATGCGAGCAACCACAATAATAATAAAGTATAATGGCCAGACATAGAAAATGAAGAAGTTAAGTACTCTGGTACTTTAGAATTCAGACAGATAAGCACCTGCCATATAATGCCTCAGATTTAACAATTGTTGATAACAAAGACAAAAAAGTCTGGATGGTGGATGTGGCAGTACCTAGAGGCAGCAAAAGAAAAAAGAAAGAACTGGAGAAAATCCAAAGACCTACAAAATAAAAGTAGAATAACAGTAGAAAAACAAAAACAAAAGCAAAGATAATACCAATAGTAATAGGCATCTTGGGTGCAATCCCAAAACATCTGCAGCACCACTTGTACACCATCGGCCTTGACAAAAATCACCATGAGTTAATTGCAAAAGGCAGCTTTACTTGGAACAGGTTACATGCTGCAATGATACTTAACTATTAAACAACAACTCCTGCCTATCTTGGGTCCTTGGGAAGGACTCAGTAGGTATATAAAAATGCCAAGTCCAGTTTAAACATCTGGCTGACTGTGGGACCAACCATAATAGTAAGCTTTATATCACTTCAGTAATGGCTGAATGCCACTAGAAAATGCTTTCACTGACTAGTGAGGAAATGCTATTAAGATCCTGTTTCTTTTTAATTTGCATAAAATAGCCTATTTCTTATGTTTCCAGGATTTCTGCCCATTTTATTCTTTTTCTGACTTTAATATTATGATGGCCTTTGCAAGAATTTTCACCATAACCAGGTTTGTTATTTATTTGATAGATTTATATCCTGCCTTTCCTCCAGGAGATCAAGGGAGTAAGAAAGTAGTCTTTCTTCCAATTTTTCTTACAACAATCATTCCATTAAGAATGCTGAGTTGAGAAACAGCGATTGGTATAAAGGCATTCAGTGACTTCTAGTAACTGAGAATGGGTTTGGCTCTCCGGAAACCTAGGGTGGCTTCTTACTTACTATACTTTTCTTACATTTGAACAGCGGAAGCAGTTAGTAGTCTTTCTTCTGTCACCCTGACAGGAAATGCCAGTTTCCTGATTTTGCTTAAGTTAGAAAGTCAAGCATTACAAGATAGTTATTTCCAATGCATATTGACCCTTAACTATAGTTGTGAGCAGCCTTACAAAATTTAAACAACCTTTTAATTTTGTTCTTTCTTGTAAATGAACATTACAGTCAAAGTCCCCATAGCTCCTAAGTTACAGCAGCTTTTGCCCATTTGTTAGAAAGGGCTATGTGGCTGGGTTCCTGAAGCATTCCATCATCAATCGTTTAACCACAGTTTACTGCATGAATTGCACTCTGGCTGGACAAATTCTGATAATGCTGAGGTTAAGTAAACATGGAAATAGGAGTGAAGAGAAAAGAGATTAAATATTATGCTGGTTTCTGACTGTAGTAAAGATTCGATTTGATTTGATTTGATCTGAGATTAAAGATACCTCACTCAGTTTATTCAGGGGTTGTAGGACATCTTGTTCGAGAGTAATTTCAAACTCTGCAAGGATCCTGGCCAGTGTGCTTTGAATACAGCAACTCATTTCTAGAGCTTTCCTGGAAGCAAAGAAGAAAGAAAGAGTTGAAAACCTGACTTGGAAGGTGAAGAGTATCAATCTACCATAACACCTCTGAGGACTAACATACAGTATGTTTGTTCTTCTTTTGCTTCCAGAGTCCTGGTTTGGATCCTTCAACAGCTGCTTCTTCCCATATCCAGCATTTTCTAGATATATTGCATTGCAAGTCATGTGCAATGGGAATTAAGAGCATCAAATTGGGAAAATTGTTTTTTTTTTCAATTAATTTGCCACAAATTCTAAGCTCTGCAATTATTACTAGGTGTACTTTAATTTCTGTGATATGTATCCCATCTTTTTGCCCAGAGGATATATAGGGCCACTAAAAGTAAAAATAAGCAGTTGAAAAATCTAGTTTAAAAGGAGTAAAAATCACAACTCATTCCAACTGAAAAGGATAAAGGATGGAGACCTGAGCACAATTCCCAAAGAAATACTCTCCAGAACTTGGAATTACTTGGATGATTGGAGATTCAAGACAGTTTATGCAACCAATAACTTCATTCCTGATATTCATTTTCTAAATAAAATGCTTGTTGAGTAGCAGACACATGTATTTGACACTGATAAACTCCAAAGACTGTTCTGCAGTTTCAGGTAGGCTGAACAGTCATTGTGGCTCAGCTTCAGTTGATAACAGTAATGCAACATCCATATATTACTTGTGGGATTAGCTCTAAAAAAATACTTTGTTTTTAGTGACTTAGTGTGCCTGTTACTGAAAAAAAGTGTGTCCTTTGTTCTTTTTGTGGCACTGCATAGAGGAAGCCAAGGAAATGCTAGCAGGGCAAATAGTGCCTATTAAGTGATGATCAATAGAATTTAAAGCTGCACTAGCAGATCTGCACTTGGGTGATGAGACTTTCTCTTCTTCATGTCACTCCTGTGTATTCTTACAATTGCTCTGGAAGAATAAGTTTCTCTGAATCAGATTTGAAGGCATGTGCAAGCCTGTGCAAGAGGAAAGGGAAACGGCCTTCCTCCCACTCAACACCCAGAAATGGCTTTTGCTAATAGAAGTGTAAGAGCCAATTTGGTGTGCTGATTAAGGCAGTACATTAGAAACCAGGAGACCATGGGTTTTAGTCCCATGGACTGGAGGCTAAAACATATAAGGAACGGTTGCTGGAATTGGGTATGTCTAGTTTAACGAAGAGAAGGACGAGGGGGGACACGATAGCAGTGTTCCAATATCTCAGGGGCTGCCACAAAGAAGAGGGAGTCAGGCTATTCTCCAAAGCGCCTGAAGGCAGGACAAGGAGCAACGGGTGGAAACTAACCAAGGAGAGAAGCAACCTAGAACTAAGAAGAAACTTCCTGACAGTGAGAACAATTAACCAGTGGAACAACCTGCCTCCAGAAGCAGTGAATGCTCCAACACTGGAAGTTTTTAAGAAGAAACTGGACGGCCATTTGTCCAAAATGGTTTAGGGTTTCCTGCCTGAGCAGGGGGTTGGACTAAATGACCTCCAAGGTCCCTTCCAACTTTATCATCATCATCATCATCATCATCATCATCATCATCATCATCATCATCATCATCATCATCAAGTCCCATTTTAAATATGAAGCAAACTAGTTGACCTTTGGCTAATCACACACTCTTAGCCCTAAGGAAGCAGGCAATGGCACCCACTTCTGAAATCTTACCAAGAAAACTTCAAGGACTTATCCAGGTAATCAGTAGGAGTCAAAAACTGACATGAAGTCACCCCCAAAACTCCCCCAAAACAAATACCCACCCACCACAGAAGTGCAGCTTGGATTTCACCCAGTGAAAACTTGACCCACTCTGTGTTTGTGCTGCTTTCTGTTGTACCACCCTTTTGCTGGACAGAAAGTTATCCCAGAAGTACAAAATATAGTCTAATGCAGATTTCATAGTTGGCATGGTTCTTAAAATACAAGGCCAACAGAAAAAGCATGTGGTGGAGGAAAACTGAACAGGCAAACAGAGGAGACTCAACTTCTGTACGAATGGATTTTAAGGTTAATATTAATTACACAGATGCTGGAAAGAATACTGCTCTAGAAAAGTAATATTTTTATGTTTTCAGAAAACAGTCAGGATATTAATGCAAATTGAGAAAGAAAATATGATTTTGCAATCCGTAGGGGGGGATGAACTTTATAGGAGGTTCAGACTATATGTTCTTCAGCTATGAAGAATACTGTATGGTCTTTCATTCATAAAAATGTAAGAATTCTTACCCAAGACTGGAATCCATGTCTAACTCCTTAAAACTTTCAGCCATAGTGACTGATAATGCCATCAAAGGTAACTTTTTCTGTGGAAAAAAGTAAGAAAATGAACAGACAAGGAAAATAGCTATACCAGCTAATAGTTGGTAATTACAGTTATTAAATCTCTAACTTCTTGGCTACATTATGGTTTCTTATAGGGATATAACTTTCCTCTGTTTCTTTACTATTGGCTTAACAGGTAATAATAACTGTTTCTCACCATCAATACCTTATCTTAATGTGATATTAGGTTTTTTTGGCAATGATAATTCATTGTAATCCTGAGGGCAGTATGTGTGCGTATACTGGGTATATCTGATAGTTAGTGAAATGTGAATAACAGTAGTTTGGCTTACAGGCAATGTCTAAATTAATGATCCTACCTTATGAATGAAAAGGCCAAAATATAGGTCAGGGAATATGAATTAGTGTCAAGTGGAGACATTTTATGAATGCAAATGGTGGTAGAAATGGGTAGAGATGTATTTTTAAAAATGAAATAGGTTAGGCAGGATACATGATTGGACATAACTGATTTAAAGTTTAATATTAGCATCTTAAAATGTTGTTGATGGTTGCATAATAAGGCACAGACACAAATAAATATACCATGGATTTTAAGACAGACCATTATTGGTGCTACTATGGGCAATTTATACCTTATTCTAAAGTCTGTATCTGGCTGGATGGCAAATGTGTCTGCATTCTCCTACTGGCTGCACCCATGAGGGGGTGTAAAAAATGTCCATAGCTTGGCTAGTTGAACTTTGTGATTAGTACTCTGGATTTACTGTATTCAGTCAGAAGCTAGAGACATAAAATAAGAACAAACTGAAAAAGATTAATTGCTTCATCTTCTGGTTTCTTCTAGCTAGAAAAAAGAAGATGAAAACAATATTTCTAAAGAATATGAAGTACAAAGGTATTACTGGTCTAAAGTAGACAAGTAATTACTTAAAGTAATTAAATAGTTATAAAGCTTGATTAATGAATTATCTTGCTTTTTTATAATTTTTATTTTACTATTCTTCAAAGGAATGCAGGTAGTCTGTTATTATTCTCTCCTATTTTTTTATTATCATAAAAGTTCTGTATAGTATTTTAGTCTCAAAAAGGGTAATTGCCTAGTGTACTCCCTTCCTCCCTTCCATATATTTACTGTATATACAGAAGCAAAACTGAGGTGCTGAAGAAAAACAAGAAATAAGAAATTTGGACTTTGCCCGTATTTAATTCCAAAACTGATTATAAAATCTGTATGGATATAAATATCCATACCTAGTTGTATCTCTCCATGGGCAAAATCCAATAATCGGATTCAATGACATATTACTTTGAATGCTGATTATGATCCACAGGGCATGTTAATCTCCAGGATACCTTCCGTACTTCTTCCTTTGATATCTTAGAATGGACTTTTCACACCAATAGATCAACGAGAATATGGCTTCCATAATTTTTAGCCAGCTTACCTAATGATAATATTGGCTGAAGATTATTGGAGTTTAATTCAATGTATCCAGAGGATATCAGATACTAGAAGGCTATTTTAAGGAGTCTCCCAAATCCTAGCATAAATGCTACAGATAGAACTGTGGATTAATATTAGACAATTTTAATACCCAAATTTCTTTAATTTCCTGGAGAACTGTATAGGAGCTATACAATAGCAAAGTAGGAGATAAAACTCCTGTATTACAATCTAGATCAGCACCCGAAGCAGATACCATGGAGAGGAAAAAATTGTAGGCATAAATTACTGTGGACCTATTGCATTTTTTCTCAGTGTAGAATAATGTCAACTTCTGAAAAAGGTGAGATGGGGAAAGAAAGATGCTTTATAATTGAGAACTAGCATAAAGCACCAAAAATGTGCTTCCTATAGTGTGAATTAAGATCCAGAAAGAACCGCAAAAAAGAAAGGAAAAATGAGATTTACCACCCGTTTGTCCAGTTCTGCCCCATATTGACCCTGGAGACAAGCCACAAGTCTCTTGTGCACATTGTGTGCTGCTCGTTTGACTGGTTCAATTCTCTGTTCAGTCTAAAAAAGAAAGTGGAACAATTAGCTGGGAAGAAATAAAGAGAAATGCATTTTCTCCTTACTACACTGTAGTTCCCCATACATACTGTAAATCTGTATGCATATACATGCAAATGGCTTTGGTGAGCACCCTTTGCTTTGTCTATCACTCACAATATCATTTGTTTAAATCATTTTTAACTGGTTATTGTTGTATATCTCATTTTATACTGAGACACTCAGAGTTGTTAAGAGTTGGTTAACATACAAATTCGATTGATAAAATAAATATTTATTAATGGACTCCAGTGCTTAAAACACATTGTACTGTTATTCAAATGATATAGCTGGAGTTAAAAAATGCAGCCACTTTTGAAAGCATACCCAGAATAGTCTGATCCTCTTCTCCTTTTGGAGATTGTGGCTAAAATATGTACATTATATTCATCTGTGGCACTTTTCATTTATGTAACTACCCTTCTCATTGTCAGAATTTTACACTGAATTCAAATATTGTGGTCCCTATTTTTTTCCTAGGCTTTTTATGCCAGAAAAAAAATCAGTTAAGGAAAGAAAGGCCCAATGACTTCAGAATGTCTTGTGAGTGATGGCATAAAAACCGTCCATTTGAAAGCCTCTTCACTGGCTTTAAAAATTCCATTAATTTAAGGAAAGCGACCCAATTCACAATCTATCTGCAGCTTTGCATGTTCTGAAGTTTTGCTAGTCTGAGTTGTTTCATTAACGCTTTACATCTTCTGGGATGTTCTCTCCCACACCCGACGGAGTATATTGTACGAAGCTTGCATGATACAGCTTACTAATAGACCTGGATTATATTGGGAGAGAATGACTCCAGTCCAAGATTGTCTTGTGACTCAGACAGAGAGAGAAAACAAACTGCTCTCTAAGATGAGTGACGCCTTCTCTGCCAGCACAGGGCTACAGGTAAGTACATGCCCACAGATGAAACCCAGTGCCTCACCTGGAGCAAGTCTTCAGTCAAGTAATCTGCTGTTTCTTGGGCTCTGGAGAAGGAGGAGCAGTAATGGAAGAAAGAGGTCATCAACACACTTGTACATTATATTATTTCAATAATGTCTATAAGCCACCTCCTTGCATGTCAGATCAGCATTATACTTTCAATAAAATAGTAGGCTTGTTTGTTAGAGGATTGATTTACCCCTGGAAAAGTAAAATAGAATCAGAATTTTCCAGGCTCATAGTTGTCACTAACAATATATCTGGTTAGCATTCAGAAAAAAACAGAAGCCATGGAGAGGAATGGGGACAGTTGTCCCCACAGTTATTCAGACATGTTGGTACATAGTGGAAGGGTTCTTGGGCAGCTTCAGCATGTCAGACGAGTGCAGGCTTAGAATGTTCAAATGTTAATCGTGGTTTAATTCTCACAATCCAACCTGAAGTTGAATGTAAGCCCAAGGCCTATAAATGGCAACATAACGAAACAGCAAAAGCCTCAAAATCTACTCTTGCTTCCTTTTGAAAATAATTGTTTCCAGTACTCTGGAAATGGAGTCTGAAAACTGCTATTTCAACAGCACAATGCTATTTTGGGGGAAATTGAAATACTTTCCAGATTCTGCAACACACTCTTGCCATTGATAAACAAAATAGTAAGGATGCCCTCAGGTCAAACGTGGCTGCAGTTGACTATATAATTGCTTTGGAATCTTCTTGATTGCAGAGATAGCTTGCCATTATTACTGACTCCCAGACGACTGCCATTCCAGACTAGTCTTCTGCCATGATGTTTCTGGTGATCTCCTATCCCAGCTACTAGCTCTGCTTAGCCTTTGAGTCCAGACAGAATCAGTCAATTGCCACCATTAGATGAGGATCATATGAGCATGCAACATGCCCAAAGGTCAAAATATTACCAGAACATCCATCTTGAGTTTTCTGAAGTCAGAAGATGTACTGGAATTCTTTCCCAAGGTTGGGGCAAAATGGGCTGGCAAAAACTGGAAGACAACCCATTCAAAAAGATTACAATGGATGTGTTGATCAAACTCTTCCCCCCCCCCCAGTTCTTGGACAACTAACTACTTGGGCATCTACCAGAAAAACATAGAGGACACTATTTCACAGTCTGGGAAGTGGCCTTTCCTGAAATATTGCTGCCTTCTTATTCTTAGCACTGTGCCTGACAATATCCTCCCTCTCCTTTTGTTTTGGACGACTGTATTTGGTTAGAAACACATTTCAAACTCTGATCTGGGGGAAATATATAGGATTTTAGTTACATTTACATGCTTAGTTTGAATTTCACAGCAAACTGAAATGAACACAAATCAAGAAAATCAAAGAAAATAGAAATTAAAAAGCCTTTCTCCATTTGTGTATATCAGTGTTTCTTAACCTCAGCAACCAAGACATGAGGAATCCAATTCCCAGAATTGGGATTGGCTTGGGAATTCTGGGAGTTGAAGACCACATTTCTTAAAGTTGTCAGTATTGAGAAACATTGGTATATATCATGAGAAATATGTGCTGGCATCTGCCTTGCTGTTGAGATTGATGGATAATTTTCCAACTATTTCCACTAGTTGGTAATATTCAGGAAGGGAGAGAATTAGAGTGTTTATCCAGTTGATTTGCATAACATGTCCTATACCAGTGGTGGCGAACCTATGGCACGGGTGCTAGAGGCGGCACTCAGAGCCCTCTCTGTGGGCACGCGCGACGTCGCCCCAGTCCTAGGCCTTCAGCTGGGTTTTATAAAACCTTTTCGCTTTAGGCCTCTGCCATGTGCAAAAAAAAAAAGGTTCAATCAATCAGTCAATTTCAACTTCTTGCGGGGGAAAAAAAGATCTTGCAAAGTTGGAATTGATTGATTGAACTTTTTAGTCCCACCCAGTCTGCTGTTACCACCGCAGCCACGCCCACCCAATGGGCCACACCCACCCAATGGGCCACATCCACCCGGCACCCGACAATGCATAAGTGGGTTTGGGGTTGCAGTTTGGGCACTCAATCTCAAAAAGGTTCGCCATCACTGTAATACAGAAGCAATACAGGTAGTCCTTGACTTGCAACCATATATGAGCCCAAAAATTCCATTGCTAAGCAAGGCAGTTGTTAAGAGAGTCATACCCCATTTTACCACATTTTGTGCCATGGTTGTTAAAGGAATGACTGTAATTATTAAGTGAATCCTGTGGTTGTTAAGCAAATCTTGCTTCCTCCATTGTCTTTGCTTGTCAGAAGCACCCTAGGAAGCTTGCAAATGACAGTCCCAGGATCCAGGGACGCTGCAACCATTGTGAATACATGCTAGTTGCCAAGCACTCAAAGTTTGATCACATGACTGTGGCGGCGCTGCAACAGTCATGAGTGTGAGAACTGGTCATAAGTCACTTTTTTCAGTGCTGTTGTAACTTTGAAAAATCATTAAATGAATGCTGGTTAAGTTGAAGATTACCTATACTTCTGTCTAGGAATGGGCTTTGTGGACAGCAGGTTTTATATTGCAATAGTGTTCTGCCAGCTCAAGAAGTGGATTTTTACATTTTAATTTTTAACCCCTACGATCTGGAAAAAAAGGAGTCAGGAAAAGGTGGCAATGCATAAGCTTATGGCTAAGATGACTCCAATAGCTATGGATCCACTCACCAGTTGCTGATAAGCTGAAAATTACTTTATAACAGAGTGTAACATATTATCTTATGGGGAGGGGAGAAATCCCATTTTAAATAAATGCTCTGCTAAAACACAAGTATCATAATGTTAATAGTTTGGTACTTTAATTGCTGCTGCATTACTGAAAGAATGTTCACAATGGGGAAATGATTAATTTTCTCTGCATTTTCTTTAATTGTGTGGTGACTGATCCCAATGGCATTTTAATGAAAGTTGCAAACAAAGAACAGTTAAACCTAAAAACATATCATTAACATGGCTGCTTTTTTTATGCAACAACAGCAATACTTAAGTGTTCTTTGTGCAATTAGCCTAGGTGAGCAAGTCTGCAAAGATCCTCTTCACCCCCATCTTGGAATAGGATGAGTAACTTCCAAATACTACTAGACAGGGAAGACAGGAAAAGCAGCTTCAGGACTCCTGAGAGAAGAGCCCTGCCCTAACTCTACTGATGTCATGCCCATGTGTTCAAATGTATGGTAACCAGTCAAATTTCTCTGCACTTCCGGCCTAAAGAATGACAGGAACAAAGTTAAGAAGAGATCTCCTCATCCAACCTCCATGGAATCCTCCTTGTGACTGTTTAGTGCAGGAATAGGCAACCAGGTGGTCCTTATGTCTTGGAGTAGAGTTTCAGAAGCTTGATTCAGCATGACTGAGAGCCAGGGATTACAGGAATTATACTCAAAATATTTGAAAAGCACTAAATTGTTTATTGTTGGAGTAGTGAAATGGGTTTGCCACTGGGAGACCAAAAGTAAAATCCTATCCATCTATAGATGTGCTGAGTGGTTGCAAAGCAGCCCAAAAATACAAGAAGAATCAAGAATCAATTTTATTTTATTTATATTTCCTATTTTTTTAACTGCCCATCTTCCTCAGAGATAATTGAATTTTGATTAAATCTTCTGAAGGGCAATAATATTTTAGAGTTATTATAGCAATAATAAGAATAGTCCCACAGTTAGATAGGTGACAAATAAATTTAATAAATAAAATAAAACAAATCATAAAATTATCTGTCCTCCTTCTGTCAAACGCATACTGCCTTTTCTTGGAGCAAAGACGCTGCTTTTTATTTTCTTGCTCATATTTGGCAAGGAAAAATTTCTAACCTTGTATTTTTCAGATATGTTGGAATAAATGCCCCACATTGATTGTGATGTGATTGAGATGCAGGGTTAGTAACACTAGGTTGGTAACATGAGCTAACAGAAATATGATCCTTAGCCTTTTTGTTTTTATTCATAGGTCAGGAATGGGGATCCTATGATTCTCCAGCATTCTTCTAAACGCCATATTTCTTCCTACCTTGCCATTTATAACTTATGGTTTGCATCTTTGGTACTTGCTTTAGAAGTTTACCAATCTCCAATTATTATTTCAGGGATATTTGGATCACCAGTATGAGCCTTTGATTGATAGTTGCTATTTTAACAGCCTAAGAAAGTGACTAAACATGAAACTGATATGACTCAGAATGGTTTAGTAATCCCCTACAAGTAAAATATTGTATAGAATCTGCTATCTGAAAACCTCAGCTTTTATTTTAGGGCAACTGTGTATGCCTCTTTAGATGAGGTTTCAAAGCATGTGGTTGTTCACACACACACACAAAAAAATATTTCAATTTTAATTACAGCAGGGAAAGGCAGCTTTCAGTCTTGCAGAATCCAGTTTTTGTTTCACTAATACCAGAGACTATCAACTGAACTATATACAAAAAGTATAATTCAAAAGCCCCTCTCTCATTATCTGAGAGGAATAATAGATGGATTTCAGATTTTCTACCCTGAAATCAATTTCTAATTAGCCCCACTATTTTCATTTCAACAGTTGTGATTCTTAGCATTTTTCCTGCTAAGGGTCTGCTTGTTTTGCCCTGCATCAGCTGATTCTTACAGGTGAATCTATCAATGCATGATGCAGTAAAGGGGAATTATTTATCAGCTAGTTTGTTGCAGAGTTTGATGCCAATAATGGTTGAGAGGGAATGATTGGCTCAAGGTCATCAAGCTGGTTTCTGCAGCCAAGGGAGAACTAGAACCTGAGTACCCACATTCCTACTCCAGCACCTTAACCACCACACCACACTGGTTTTCTCAATTTCAGCAATGAGATCAACAGCATCAGGCACTACAACAAGCTATGTATGATAAAAGTGGAGAGATCATTTTGTTCTTGTTAAACAACTGGGAATCAGAACTCTTTCCCCTTTTGGTTGCAAAATCTGGGTGCTGAAGTCTTAATAGGGTTGCAGAAATGAGGGCTATCCACTATGGGAAAATTCAGCACATTGCTAATCACACCATGGAAGCTTTTTAGAAGTCTGCCGAGTGGAGATTCTGGGGGCATAGGAAGGTGACCTGTAAGCCATTAATAAACTATAATTAAATAATCCCAAGGAAGGGAAAAGCTGGGGTTACCCCCATCCATTGAGAGCTACTCTGTGACAGTTTTTAAAGTAGCTACCCTCCAGCTAGAGATACAAAATCTAAATCCCAACGAACTTTTCAACACAAAGTTCTAGCACTCCAAACTATACCTATAAAGAGAGGCTGGCAATGCAGCCAAACAACTAGTCCTTACCGTCCAGTGATGCTGGGGTAACTGAGCTGTTGCCGCATCCGGTTAAACTGCCTCTTCATCATCCTGTGGGCCAAGCTGAAATAGTATTACCAAGACAAGAAAACAAGCCAGAGGCTCAGTACCTCCTCAATACAAGCCAGCTGCGCTTGCTGCCATCCGTTGCTCTCTCCCTCTCCGCCTTCACTGCAGGCTTCTTCTTGTCACTTCCTTGTCATCTTCTAGTTTGACCTCCTTTTTCTTCCCCACCTATCCTCCCTTTGTGTCTTTATGCCTCTCCTCCCTATTCTACTTCCTTCTCATGGTTTCCCCTTCCACTAATGAGCTTTACTCAACTTTTTCTGGGTGCTTCTTTACTTTTTTTTTTTTTTTTGCAAACTTTCCAGCTTCTTAACTCTCTTGCTCCTTCTAGCCTCTAACACTACCTTTCCTTGTGCTAGTCAGGTAAGATCTGTGGTTGTTTTTCTCAGTTCCTGTCGCCACCCCTTAAAAAAAAGCATAAATAACCTCAGCCAAGTCTTAAAGGGGAAATATGATTACAGCAAACATGAAACAAGGCAGAACAAGCTGATTTGCAAGGCTCATGTGGTAGAACTTCCTACTTTCTTTCTGTTTCTCACTCTCCAGTGCTTAATAGTGTATATTTGACACATTAACATAAAGGTTTGTGCAAAGACGACAGCCCATTGATTAGAATAGGTTGCAAAATGAGCCCACATTATCTGAATCATGATTTACACAATATGCCATCAAATCTAGGTTTACACAATAAGCTGTAGTAAGGCTGAACAAGCTTCCTTATGGCTTAGCATACTGTGTGAACAGGTCAGAGAAAACTAGCTATAACATACACTCATGCTTATCTGACTTATAAGTGTTCCCAAACAGGATCTCAAATAGAATTGATCAGTATTACCTCTAAGCAAAGACAGATGTTTCAAAGGCTTGGATCTCTTCAAGCAAGGCTAATAATGTGTAGTGATTCCAACTGTTTAGTTTTGGCCACCAAAAGAATATTCATAATAATAAATGATATCTTGCCTTTCTGGATATTTTCAGCTGCATCCTGCACCAGCACTACAAATTAACCTCTGATGCAGAAAGAAAATAAACATCAGAATAAAAACTACTCTTAGGAAATGTAGATTCTGAAGCGTACAAGATACAGCGTTTTGTTGCATGGTGATATTACCTCACATGCCTGCTGATTTATTCTCCATCATCTCTAGTTCTGGATATTTAATGCTGTTACCAACATCTTCTCAACTATAGCAGTTAAAAACTTGGTGTTTTTTTTTAAAAGCAAAGCCTCCATAATGAAACCATGAATATGCCATGCTGGTCTCCTTGATACTTGTGGAAGTAGGTAAATTATACAACTTTGTAATGCACGTTTTTTCACCTTCATCTTTCCATGCTTTTTAAAAAACTCCACTCCATTCTTATGAATACAAAGTCACATGGACCAAATTTAAAATATTTCTAATGCTTCTATAATTACATTTTTCTTTTTTTGTCCTGGTTCAGGCAAGTTTTTAAACATGAGTTTACCTGTCAGTTTTCAACAGGAATACAGAAATAAGATACAGATGAAAAAAATATGTGCAATCAGTATGCCAAAGTTTAGGCATCACCAAGCTGTGTTTCAAGGATTCCCTAAATGAACAGAAGCTGAAACAAGGGTGAACACAGCTTTCTTTTGCTTTCTACATGCAATTATTTAGTTTCAAACTAAAAAAACTGTGAATGTGAAAAATGCAAATGCTTGGAGATCCTTTTAGTTACTTCATTGTAATACCATTTTTCCAGAAATAACCACTTCCAAATGCTGAATCATAATATTGACCAGCGGTGCCTTAATATTTGCACCGAAGAGCCTATGCATGTATTGAAATGTATACACACATATCCACATACCCACATGTTGATTATAGTAATAGATTCACAGCTGATAAGATGTTCATTTCATATCATTTGGTTAAGTTATGAAATTCAGTATTACAGAATATGATTGAGGCCAGTAGTCTTTTTTAAAAAGTTAAGAACATTTTTTGAAGGTTCAGTTAATTAGCAGCACTCATTTACAATGCAAAATGGATTCTCAGTTCCGAAGTACTGGTGATGAGCAGCTCTGGACAGTGATCTCCTTCATATCCTAGTTGAGCCCTTTCAGAAACGTTTGTCTTGGTGCTACTGGAAATAACTTCAGGAAACAGTTAGACTTGCATCATGCAGTTGCTGCCCATCCCTAAATTCTGCTTTTATAACTGAAAACAACCATTAACAGTTTATATCCTTCCAACAAAATGTCTTGTTATCTGACAGGACCACTGAGCTACTTAACTGGAGGTCATTCACACGTTCAGCTGAGAGTCAAACAAGAACCTTATTGTATGATTACAGAAACCACACACATCTTTCATTGTTTTCCTTCTTACATGTATTAACTACTTTCCTGACTGTTGACCACTTGCTTCCTTCTCCAAGTTTCCTCTTCATCTATAGGTAATCCCCTTAGTAACTGCTTGGTGCTATTCACTTGCTATATATGGAGAATATGCCCTGTATTTGCCCTCATAAATATTGAAACAAATGTATATTATTGTATTGTAACTTCTATTGAGACATAAAGAGCAACTGATGCCTTCCCAGAATTGACTGAATGTTTACTTTTTACTAGCAGATGCAAACTTTGTTCCTGTGGCTTATAAAATTCACATATGGCTGATAGCAACTAGTGCAAGCATGATTATCCATGTTTTATTTGGTATACGTTTTAATCAATTTTGTAGCTGTCTTCTGTAAGTTTTATTTTGTCTAGGATTTTGACCGTTAATCAGGAATTTGATTCAAATTATGGTCTGAGAAGTAGGAAATCTGAAGGAAAAACAAGGCAGGAAAGCAGACATAGTCGAGTTAAGAAGAAATCAGTTCTATACAAGTAGTCCATGTTTAGGGACTGTTTGTAGTTACAACAGTGATCAAAAAGTAACTTTACAATTAATCTTCACACGTATGATCTTCGCAAGTTTATAAAGCAAAAGGGAATTGAAGTTAAGATCATAAGCAGAGTCACAATTTTACTTAGCGACTTTGTTTAACAATTGAGTTTGTGGTTCCCAATTGTGGTTGCTAAGCAAGAACTACCTATAGTTATAGATGAGAAAAAAGGTGAATGATATATCTTGGCATCTACAATGCCCTAAATCTAGATGTTCATGGAATTAAATTAGAACTGCTACACATAAATTAGAACTGCTACACAGGTTCTGAATTGTATATGTAACTGAAATTATTGAGCAATTGTTGATTTTTCTTCTGAGGCCTAGAATTTTCTGTAGGTCTTCTATTGAAACCCTAAGCATGTTACAACACTTTTTAAAAGCAGCTTATAGTAGTATTCATTTCAATTCAGTGGAAGCAAGACTTTTGATTCATAGGCTATAGGGGAAAATCATTAAATTATTGCTGCTGTGACTGCATCTATAAAATGAATAGTGGTGATTAAGGTTAATTGCAAATATACTTTTTAAAAATAATTCTAAGGATAACAGTAGTCAGAATTAAAGAGTTTTTCAGTGCATTGGTCTGGGAATTCTGCATAACTCAATTTTGTAAAAAATTCCTAAAAGACAAGTGAAGAAAACAAGCATAAAATAGATTACTTTGAATTTACTATCTATAATGAGTTTTATTTAATTCTGAAATATTTATGATTGTATTTTCAAGAGAAAGACAGGGTAGAAATTGTCTAAATAAATATATTTCTTAGAATTCCTCATAAATGTGTTGCATATGAGATGATATGCACTTTATAATATATACGGTAGTAATATAATTCCAACTATAGATTTTATATTATCTGGTGAAATTTTAAACTTAGGTCTTGATGCACTGATGGACAGCTTGATTATTGTAAATTGTATAAGGAGGTAACAGCAGGATATTCTTCCCGGCTCAAGATAGTATGAACAATTACTTTAGTCATTGTTCTATTTGTAGCAGTCATCCATTGGACTGCAATCTAATACCAGGAATTATGGGAACTGAAATACAACACATATAGCAGACTTCCAAGTCAGAGAAAGCCATTATATAATAATTCTGCTGAAGCAATCCTGCCACATTAGTTCATTGTAGTGGTGGTGGTGTTCCTGGAAGTGATGAGTGAAGAATGCTGGGAATGTACACCAAGAGTATTGTACCGAGTAGTGTCACTCAAGATATGAATGCTACTCAGCTATTTAAAGCAAGTAGGCATCACTGATATAGGAAATGCTGAAGGTGGATGATCAGTTTTGTGACGATGGCAAAAGCATAATTTCATACCCTGCAGAAAGCAATGCTAAACCATTCCTCTAAAGAAAGCCACTTAGAAAGATAGTATAAAGTGACTGACAATATAGTGCCAGAGGATGGGCTCTTCGGGTCAGATAGTATTCAATGTTCTCCTGAGAAAAAGCTGAGATTCTTTCAGAGTGTTAATGGCATGTACAATGCAATCAGATTAAAGACCCTGAAATGCTGATCATCAGTTAGTTGCTGATATTGCCATGTATGAAAAGAAAAGCTGGAGCTGCAAAGACAGAATTACAGTGGGAACAGAGAAGATAAGAAATGTGAACATGGGATACTCAACGCAACTAGAATGCCAAAGTAGGAAAGGTTGAAAAGATAGTTGGACCTATGGTCTAAGAAACAGAAATGAAGCAGAATAGACTGTTTTTGCTAAACCAGTGATATTTTTTATTGCTAACATTCTTTAAACAACCAAAATGACACCTGTATATAAGGACATCAGCAGATGGGGTGCACAAAACTCAGATTGATTATATTATTGATACAAAGGTAGTGGAAGAGCTCAGTTGTAATAGCAAAGATGAGGCTGGCTGTGCAATAGTCCTTAAGTACAAACGTACAGGTTTGAAATCAAGTTAAAGCAGAAAAAGAAGCAATCAGTTTCCATAATATGATCTTGAGTATATGCTAACCATCCTCAAGATCACAAATCAGAGTATCTCATGGATCTTATGCAAAACAAACACAGAAGAGGAAGCCACAGTCTGAGCACAACATGGTTAAACAAACTGACTTCAGGTCAGTAAAGGATGAGACAAGGTTGTATTGTATACTCTCTCCCAATTTATTCAATTTACAGTATATGCTAGATATATACTGAAAAAGAGTGGATTGGAAAACAGTAAGTATAGATTTAAAATTCAAAGCAGAAACATCACAAACCTGCAGTATGCTGATGACGTTACTCTGATAACTGAAAATGATATGCAAGCTCCCAAAAATGAAAGCAAAAGAGCACCAATGGAAAAACTGAGACAAAGATTAAATACAAATATGACCAAACTAATGAAAAGAGCTGCCTTAAAACTGACAAATAAACATACTGAAGTGGTAGACAGTTTCTACCTTGCAGGATTGCCAACCAACAGTAAAGCAGCAGTAAAGAAATACACTGCAGATTAGCGCTTGGTAGGATAGCAATTGAAGGCTTTGGGGAAGATAAAAGATCAGAACTGTGGAGGCAATACTTTTCTGTTACTCTATGGAAGCAGAAGTTGGATTTTGAAGGATAGAAAAAAAAAATAGAATGTTGGTGTTGCAAAGGACTCCTGATAATACCACAGAAAGCCAAGTGGATCAAACAAATCAGTCCAGAGTCCTCATTCAAGACACAGATGTCCAGACTCAAATTATATTTGAAAGTATATATTTGAAAGAGTGAAGACTTAACACTCTTGAGAAATCTAAGAGAAGAGGATGACCAGCAACAAAATGGATGGAAATGATAACAGCAGTGGATGCACTGTTCGAAGATCTGAAAGACCATTCACTTGGGCCTAGCTTTGTGGCTGGTAAGAGTCAACACCAAGATGACGGCACGTAATAAATCAATGCTACCTAATAGAGAAACATGTGTATGTCTGATCCAGTATACTTCTCAGGTGTGTTAAAATAGGGAAAGTATTCTGTTCTGTTCCTTGTTTAGGTCCTAAGGCAGTGATGGCGAACCTTTTAGAGACCGAGTGCCCCAAACCCGCCCCCCCACCCTGCCCCCACCCGCCCCCTGCTCCTCCAGCCCACAGGGCCATGCACTGCCTCAATGGCCCGCTGTAGCAGATCACCCAGGCAGCCCTGCAGCACCATGACAGCCACACCCTCCGCCCACACCCCGCAGCAGCATCTGCACGCTATGGAGCGTGAGGGCGGAGTCTTGTCCCTGCTGCCCGGCTATGTCCTTGGCTGCGCTGCTCCAGGGGGCGACTCTCCTCCAGGCGGGCTTCTGGAGAGGAGGAGGCCACAGGCGGAGACGGGGCTGGGGCAATGGCGCGCGTGCCCACAGAGAGGACTCTGAGTGCCGCCTCTGGCACGCTGCCATAGGTTCGCCACCACTGTCCTAAGGTGTTAAGACATTAAATTTCAGTTTTACTGAGGTTAAAAAAAACTCATTGGTCTTCTTGCACAGATTAATGAAATATGAAAAAAAAACCATTCCTGGGAGGTTTCAGTCACCATCTCACAACCTGCAAAAATGAAGAAGGATCTGACTACTCTTATCATGTGGAATAATTATGGCTTCTCTGTTAAAGTTTATTAATCTATCACTGCTGTATAATGTAATTATTCTTCTTTCTTACAGATCACTGCCAGCTTTCTTTCTAAAATCCAATCAATCTAATTAACTAAAGGTATGAGGAAGATTACCACTGCGGATTTAAACATTTAATTTATAGTACAATAATGTTCACCAAAAATAGAAAGGAAGAAAATTCATTAAATAATGTAGCAATCTGAGCAGTTATGTGTGATGGAAATTTGTAGACAGTAGCATTATCAAGCCCCAAATAAGGCATCAATCTCAACCTGTACCTATTGCTATATCTCAAGTGCAAGAATGCATTTCCTCTCTTTCCCACCGAGTTCAGCTATCATATAGCAGAAATAACTGCTGCAGAGGCCCTGCAAAAAGCAGCAGCAGGAAGAGGAAGTGAGAGTTATTAATATATGCAGAGCAGATTTGGCCACAAACTATAACATACAGTTTGAGGTTATACTAACCCTGCCTAGAACAGGAGTAGGAAGAACAGGCAACGAGGTTTCCTAGGGTTAAAACAATGGCTAGCATTTGCAGCCATCTCTTGCTTTCTGCCAAATAATGTTGCTCTGTAATTGCTCTACAGATGACCATACAAACTACCTTGCATGAAATATGGAGGCAACTGTGGTTGATAGTCATATCTTAGTTATATTGGAGGTTTCTGCACTAAAACAGGAATTGAGACTAAGGAACATAACTCATTATGACTGGAAATGGCTGCTCTTACACTTATCCCTCTACTAAATCAAGTGATCTGCATAACACATAATTGCTTTTTTAAAAAAAATGCATTAGTATTTTTATAAAAATGCTTAGTATTTGTGGATTATCAAGTGATGGTCAGGGCTAACCTCCAGGACAGTTTTTAAAGCAGACATGAGTACCCGTAAATATCCCAAACATATTACAGAAATCCAAAAGCAAGGAATTAATGATGCTTTTTGCATTTTGAGAATCTTATCCCTTACATTTGTAGCCTATCAGACTGTACCAGCAATGTCACCAATTCACAAAGGCAAGATTTCAGTTAACTAGTAGAAACACCATAAAGTATACCCAAAAAAATGAGATATTTGCATAATACATTCAATTTCTCAGTACAACTTTTTAAAAGTGCAGAGTATACTGTACATAGTTAAGGATTTGGCCCAAGATAGAGATGATACAGGCAGAGTTCCATGTAAATCATGATATGAAGAGCCACTACTCTTTTCCACCAAAAACAGTGACTGCAAACCATTCAAGTTCAAATGAAGTTTATAAATTACGAGTAGGAGAAAAACAAGAGACTTACAAGACTACAATTCTATATAGGATCCTCATGCTATTTCAGGAGGTCCCAATTCTTAGAATGCACTTTAGGGAAAAATATTTCTCATTAGTACAGCAGACTTCACACAGTCTATTTTAGGGCTCTTCTATGTGCAGAATTTGTGTGTGTGTGTGTGTGTGTGTGTGTATAGGTACACACACACATAAATATGCATACTTCAAAACTTAAAATGAAACAAGTCTAAAAAGAGCAAGGGCAAAGATAAACCTGAAAAAGAGACTAGAAATTAAAAGTATCCAGTCATAGCAGAACCTAACTAGAAATATTTCCCATCAAAACCTGTCAATTTGACTGAAGAAAGTATGCAACTCAGTTGGGTAAAAATGTCATTCACTGTCTCAAACCCATTTATTGTTTTTGCTGCTAAAGCTTAATTTCATCCCTCTTAGTGCAATTTATTATGAAACCAGTTGAGAACTACTAAAACTTTCATGGACATTTTGCTCATAAAAATAAACCGAGGAGCCCTATAGACTGCATGTTTCCAAGTCTGGTATCTCTGAGCATGTCAATTTATGGAAATCAAAAGGATAGCTATAACTGCTAATGATTTGAAGGGAAACATATTATGAGAATATCTCTTTCTCTCTCATCAATTTTCTCCATTGTATTCTAGTGGGTTTCAAAGACTGGATATGTAAGATGGAGCTAGGAGCTTTGCATACAACAATGTGGATCTGAAGATGGATCCTGCAACTTTCTGCATACAGTATATTGGTATAGTCTGTTTCCTTTCCCAGAAAAGCAAATCATGGAGCAAAAGTTTTCAAAGTTCCCTTGTATTCTTTGTTGCCCATTCTGTTAACCCAGTCTGGTTCTGACTCCTGGGGTGTTATATTAAGAATTAGGCCAACACTCATCCCCTTGTTTGACCATTGGGAGAAAGAAGGCCTCATGAGCAAAACAGAAACAGAAACAGCTACCCTGTAGTCCTAAAGATATTTAATTCACAAAGCTTTAAATGGGACAGCTAGTTCTCCTGTGACAAAGTACTGGGTACTTATCTTGCCGCATCTTTTGTCTTGCAGCTTTTGTGCTGCAGCAAAAAAACAAAACTGATCTATTAACCTGAACGTGTCAGGGTTGCTTGTTCAGAAGTGGTATTAATGGGAAAGTGTAAGATCCAATACTACTTCAGCAGTTGGGAAAGCTGTACAGAAGATCTAAAGTGTCTCTCTTCAAAGCCCATCTGTGCTGATATGATTATTATTCCACTCAAGAAAAAGCAAAAAGTGAGACAACAGGATGAGGATAAAGGACAAATCAAATAAGAACAGAAATCAAAGAACAGACAGCAACTCAATCCTTCTTGTCCCTCCAACCCCAAGACAGGCATCCCCCTCTTGGTCTTCTCTGCCTCTCCTCCTCCTCCTGTGCCTGCCTTTGCAGTCTGAAAGCAGAGTCCAAACAGCAGCCAATCCCGGGAAGGCTCTGGTCCTAAGCGAGGCGGAATCTTTAGAAACATGACCCAGCACACCGGCTGAGGCACTAGAGATTTCCCCATGATTCTGGAGGGGGGAACTGGTCCACATCTCCCATTTCATTGTAAGTCTGATCTGCCATGGTGAAGGTCAGCTTGTATCGTAGTCTTACTTTCTCCTAGACAGAGAAAAAAAAGGGTGTATAACAATTAAGAGAAGATCTCTAGGATGATGGCTCAGATTTGCAAATGTGGGGCAAGGAGTAGGAGAACTAGGACGTCTGAGGAAGACAACTCTAGTTAAAGAGCCCCAATGGTTTACTTAAGGAGGTGTAATGTTACCTTTTGTGGATTTGCAAGCAGGAGGACCTGGGTGATTGCTGTAGGGGGCACTATTGGGTTGAATGGTGGGAGCTCTGTCCCTGAAGGTGGCTGCAGTTTCACTTTCATCACCTGTACAAATAAAAGCACATCAATATAATTCTATGATTTAACCCAGGGGTAGTCAACCTTGGCTCTTTTAGGACTCGTGGACTTCAACTCCCAGAATTCCTGAGCCAGCTTAGCTGGCTCAGGAATTCTGGGAGTTGAAGTCCACGAGTCATAAAAGAGCCAAGGTTGACTACCCCTGATTTAACCATTAAAGAACAAGAATTGCCTCCGTGCAGCCAAATAATGGCATTATCTAATTAGAAAGGTTGTAGGCTTTGTATCTTCTCTCTGGGAGAATTGGACTGATAAATTAAACTACATCCATCAGAGGCTTGATTAACATAACATGAGCCTTCAGATCTTTTAGTTCATCGTTCTAATCCATGCTTGTTTTACAGCCTTTACGAATATTACATTTCTTTTCCTTCAATGAAAAGGCAATGGGAAATAATGAAAGCAATCGTTTTTTTAAAATCTTTAACTACCTAAACAAAATTATTTCAAGGAACAGGCCATTGCAGTCAGCATACTAAGAGCAATAGGGAAGTATATCGACATATATTGATCAGCCATGGGACTTGCTCCCTCCAGATCAACATAAATGTATGGAAGTGAAACCCTAACCCCAAACAAAAAAGCAGAATTATTCTACTGCAACTGGTAGTGGTTCTCCAAAGCCTCAGATTTTAAACAAATGTTAGATTTTAAACTATCAATCAGCAACAGCCTTTCAGGTAAGAGAAAACAAGGCATGAAACCAAGTCATGTCTTTTACCACTAAGTTATGACTTCTCCTTAACTCACTTAAATTAGCAGAAGGTATAGGCAAAGTAAGTACTACGTAGGTAAGTATTTACTGAGGTACTTACACTAGGTAACCTGAGGATGGGTGCAGACTTTCTAGTGTTCTCAAAAATTAAAATAGGTGCACATGAATTTTTAATTTGCATACAAATATTACCTTGGGGACAGCAGACTGAAAGATGATGTTCCTAATGGGCAGAGGGGCTGTGCTTAGCATAGAAATGACCACCACTAGTACATCAGGTCGGTCAGGCAGAGAGTCCTTGGCGAAGTGGAAGAGGACACGGAAACCATGCTGGTCATACACAGTCACTGGGAGGATGCTACCTGGAGTAAGTACCAGGAGAGGCATAAAACATAAGAGAGAATACTGACTGGTCCACTCTAAAGAAGCAATCAGTCAGTGACTAAATATTATTATAGTCAGGAGGTAGGAATAGAATGGCCAACCCCTGCCCCCCCCAAAATTCCACCTCTCTTAGCTTGGTTGTCCTTTACATTATCAACTAGGGCAGTGGTGGCGAACCTATGGCACGGGTGCCAGAGGCAGCACTCAGAGCCCTCAATGTGGGCACGCGTGACGTTGCCCCAGTTCTAGGCCTTCAGCTGGGTTTTATAAAACCTTTTCGCTTTAGGCCTCCGCTGCCGTGTACACACAAAAAAAGGTTCAATCAGTCAATTTCAACTTCTTGCGGGAAAAAAAAAGATCTTGCAAAGTTGGAATTGATTGAACTTTTTAGTCCCACCCAGTCTGCCGTTACCACTGCAGCCACGCCCACCCAATGGGCCACACCCACCCAATGGGCCACACCCACCCGGCACACGACGATGCATAAGTGGGTTTGGGGTTACAGTTTGGGCACTCAGTCTCAAAAAGGTTCGCCATCAATGAACTAGGGGGAACCCCACATTTTAACTTTCCTCAACCTCTTTCCCTTGTCTTTCAAAAGCCAGGTCAAGGCAATGGAGAAGGATTCTTTGCACAAACCACAAACTTTTTACAGGTTTTTCAATTTGCATTAATGTCAGACACAAGGAATCAGGTGACATTGTGAGCTGATCAGAGTTGCTTCTTTATTGTTGCCTGCCTATTTATAAGAATCTCATCAGACTACATTAGTTTGGGAACAGCCAGATAAAGGCTTCAGGAATTGTGTATGTGTGTGTGTGTGTGTGTGCGTTCTTGGCTTCCGTCGCTTCCCTCCCTGCAAGGACTCCAAGTTCACCAGTCTTTCCACTCCCCTCCCCCCAAAACTGGAGACTCCACCACAAGAAATGAGCTAAGCCAGATGCTTTGGCGTTAAGACCATTCTCCAAAACCTTGCTCAAACTCACTTGGCTTGATAGATTCCAGAGGCACAGTGACATTCATCAGTGAGAATTCTAAGGGATGCGTGGAAGCTGGGAGACCTGCTGGAAGGCTTGCATTTCCAGAAAGAGTAGGTGACCCTTGAGGGGCCAAAACAGGGGCTGTTTTTTCCAAGGGCAAAGTGATAGCAGGGCTTGAAGAGAGATTTGGGAAGACAGATGGAGTGCTATTGGTGCTCAGAGATGGGCTGGAAGTGCTTTTGTTTTGGAGGTCACGCAAGGTTAGTCGAGGAGGTGGCTGCTTCTCCCTGCAAAGTGTGAAAGAGAGTGAGAGTCCTTCCCCCTTTAGCAGATGCTACCCCCTTTTCAGAAACACCCTCTGCCCTTCCCTCCTGGCTTCCTACCATCGGACTTGAAGAGACTCTGGGGGAAGAGACTGTTGTAACAGGGTCTTGCCTAGCAGATCCAGATCATCCATACCACTCGTGGCAGCAGGAGATGCAGGCAGTCCAGCTTCAGCTTTCCCGACTGCAGCCGGTGGTCCTGAAGAGACACTGACTTCAGGGCTCTCAGATGACTAAAAAACAAAGAAGAAAAATGGATACATCTCCCCCCAAAAGCACACCAACCTGGATAGCTTAGGCACAAGCCTTGGATAAAGAACAGTGTATTTACATGCAATACAAAGCACAGAAAAACCCTTAGGTTTCTTTCACACATGTTGATAGCAATTTCAAATAACTGCAGTCTCCCAGATACGATTAGAAAAGTCTACAATTTTCTGCACAGCAGATCAGATTTGCACAGAATCTACAAAGTCTACACAATTCAAGGAATGACATGGATTCAGTTACATATTTGTGGCCATCTCTAGTCAGTGTGCCTTTTCATTAAGCTTTCTAACGTCTTCTGATATCCCTTCCAAGAAAGTAAGGTCCCCCTTGCTTTACAAAAAGTTAGCTGGGGAAAAATGAGAACAGGAGACTTGATTCACACTTTAGTTGCATCTGTTTTTTCCTGAAATAAGACTCTGATTTTCTTCTTCTCAAATCAAGATCTAACAATCTGAAATAAAAGCAGATCCAGAAAACCAAGCAACTCACATTAGGGGATTTCCTTCAAAAAAGTTACTTCTGCACACAACCTTGCTCACATACCTATGCTATAGAAATGTTTCAACATGCAAGGGCACTTTTATAGACCTAAATAGTCAACTAAGATAATCTTCACTTAGATTTCCACTGGATAACCTGGATACATTTTGACTGAAGCATCTTTAATTGAACACTTGTGCAATATGGTAGGTTAGCTTGAAGAATCTGCTGTCACAGCTTTATTATTCAATTGACTTCTAGTTTCAAAGTTGTAGGATTCATCAATCAATGATGTTCTTTCAGCTTTCAATAACCAAGACCCCTACCTGGAAACTGTTCCACCCACTGTTGTCTGTGCCTTGGACTGAAGAAGTTGCTTGATCAGTAAGCCCTAGACACGGGATCAGAAAGAGCGGATATGAGAAAGAAGATCCAATTAATCTAAAAGTGAGGAGCCCAAACTACAGTAGTATTCCTCTGCAATCCAGTAACTCAGTATAGTATGGAAAACAAATTAAAACTTCCAAACAATGATTAAAATAGTAAATGAACTAATAGTCATAAAATGCACCAATACACAATACAATCAATTATAATAGAACAATAAAAGAAAAATAAAAGGAATAAAAAGACTAGAGCACATGTTGCAATGCATAAACTTAGGAGAATGCTCTCTGAAACAGTTCTATTTTCACATTTCCTGAAAATCAATAAGGAGTGGCTATCTCCATCAGGATGCTATTCCAAAGTTTTAATAAGAATAGACATAAATGGAAAAATCACAATTTTGATGTATTTGTATATATTGTATACAGGTAGTCCTCAACTTAGAAGCATTATTCAACCTTATTCTTCCCTGTTTAGAACATCCTTGTTATAGAAGAAAAGCTACATCCAGAGCAAACAGCTGGTATTCATAAAGATCTGCTCAACATCTGAGAAACAATAATCCTGCAAGACCTATTTCTACAAAACACAGAATTTTCTTTAAGCAAAAGAAGAGATTGAGAAATGAGTTAAATTCTTCTTCAATTTCATTTTTAAAAAGTGTTTCCACCTGGCCCCACTCTATTCTGCCCAAATACCCCTTTTAGAACCGTCACTTTCTGTCCCCTGTAGAACCATGGATTTACCTAGTGACATGAGCTCATCGTCCAATAGAGAGACTGAGCTGCTTTGTTCTGGCACAGTTGCTGAGCTACAGCCTGAGAAAGTTGGTACAGCTGGGTAGGCAGGTGGCACGTCCAGTCCTGACAGATCCAGAAGTGCAGAAGTGCTACCTAAACAAAGAAACAAAGTCTACACCAAGAAGAACAGAACAGCAACAAACACAGCTCTTAGCAATCACTCCCTTATGTCAGTCAAGAGATTGCTCTGCAAAAATCCTTATCCTCCCTCAACTCCCCTCAGTCTTAATTCTCCGATTACTGCTTCATTTTTTTCAGTCCTAGAGCTGGACTAAATGAGACTGAGCTAGTCACCTAAGATCACTTTTTGAATCATAAAGTTTTTTAATCTGTTTATCTCCTCTACAATCATCTCAAGTTCAGATTCCTACTTTAGACAAGACTCTGAGCTCTCTCCTCTTGTGTCAGCAACTATTATTCAGCCTCCTTACCTCGGAGAAAACCTGCTGTAGTTTCACCATTGATCTCCTCTCCTTTCACAATCTGCTTGTACAAATTGATCACTTGCGTTAAGTTGTCATTAGCTTGCAAAATTTCAGCTGCAACAAGACCAAGATGATAAAAACTAAGGTTTGGAGCGGTAATCAAATGCTCCACAGTAGAGATAAAGCCTAACATTAACTTTTCTACAAGAAAAAAAATACAAATGTTTTAAGCCTACGTTGTTAGTAGGTTTAAAACCTTCAGCTGAAAGTTACATTGACATTTGGTTGTTACTCCTAATATAGCCAATATAATGGAACAGGTCTACATGGATGAGCAGTTTTGCTTCCACTCAATCAGTTAACCTGATTAGAACAACACACACACACACAGATGCTCACCAGGGGATGAGAATGGAGATGTCAGAAGTGAAAGGTCACAAAGTCTATGCACAAGGTAACTTTGGGTGCACTTTAATCCAGAAACTCATGATTAGAGTGACTTATAATAGAATGTGAAGAAGTCTATTGATATCTTAGGGTTTACTTGAAATTATTCTATTGTGTGACTGGATGCTTGCCTATACCTACCAAGTGCTTCATCATTGTCCTCTGTGTCACTAGCAAGCCTGAAAAGCATGGGCCTCATGCGTTCACAGCGCTGATACAGCTCCTATAACGAGGAATATTAAAGTTTAGCATAATTAGGCGCACTTCTAGGTATAAAATACATTGTCAAGTAATTGGGGTGGTTTTATTTTACTAATTATATCTGTTTGAACCTATATGAAATTATAAATTTGATTCAAATGAAAAGAAGCAAAGAGAAAAAAAGTAGAAGTGAAAAAGTGGGAAGCCCCACTCAGAAGCACTTTGGAGTATGAATTCTCCAGTCCTAATTACAACAGTCTTTGGATGACCTTGAAGCAACAGATCCAAAAAGAGCAACATCCGTTTCATCTATACTTAGTCATTTGCAATTAAATGTGCAGTCAGAGGTGTGTGTATTTACGCCTACACATAAGTTAAGATTATGAGCAGTGTGCCTGAGTAGATGCATGTACCAATTCCAGTTTAGTAATTCCTCATTTTATTCTTGGATTTGCAACTTCTGAAAGGAGCAGCCAGTGTTTGCTCTATAAGTGGTTGTTTCAATAAGAGGAAAAGTTGTAATTTCTGGGCTATTCTTGAAATATTAACACCTTTTATATCATTAATTGACATCACTTACTAAATTTCAAGTTTAAAGGCTAAATTCAATAGTTAGGTGCACACAACACATTGAATTATGGTTTGTTTAACTATACTTTTTGAAATAAGGCAGGGATTCAGTCAATTCATGAAGCCAAATGAAGCCAAGTATCACAATGGCTTAGTCGTCCTGCATGTGAATCCAGATACTGCTTTGTTTATTGTGGCTAATTAGTAGAACCAAAGAGCAAAAAAAAAAAAAGATGTTCTGCCCCCTTCTGGAGGATTGTCATATTAATTTTCTAATTGGTTTCTGATGCTATCAGTCTTTCCCAGCTAACTCTGGAGTATTAGACTATGAGAATTCCCAACAGCATGACCAATCTAGAAACTCTAGGAAAGGGTATTACAAAGTATTATATATGACCAGCAAAAAAATATGCTAATAAAGATTTTAGCATATTTTTGATGCAACAGATAAGCAGTCTTAAGGCAGCTTAAAGATTAACAAGTATTAACATATAGGTTTTCTGTAGACTGAAATCCATGTCAGCAGATATGGAAATTTCTAATGAAGTAGACCAGGGGTGTCAAACTCAATTTCATTGAGGGCCGCATCAGCATTGTGGTTGCCCTGGGGGGGGGGGCGGATGGGTGTGGCCAGGGTTGGTGCGGCCTACTGGGTGGGCGTGGATAGAGTGGGTATGGCCTACTGGGTGGGCATGGCCAGCTCTACATCATTCGCATCAAGGGTGCCTGTGGGGGCCTGGGCAGGATTGGGACAGATCTGAGGGTCTCTGGCAGAAGGGGGTGGGACCGGGGCAAGCACCAACGCATGGTCCATTTCTTCATTCCTCACAAAGGGTGACACCTCCCCAGCATGCACCCAGGGGGCGGGACCGACGCGGCAGGGGCTGGTTCCTCGCTATTTCTAGACGGCCTTGTGGAGCTAAGACTGAATGCGTTTCAGCATAGATGGCCACCACAAAATTGTACATTGGCTCCCGGCCAAGGCAGCGGGGCCCGTTCCCTCACTGTTTCCAGGATGGCTTCACAGGCCACATGAAACCACTTCGCGGGCCGCATCCAGCCCCCAGGCTTTCCGTTTGACATGTCTGAAGTAGACTGTAGTGCAAAAACATTATGCTAAAAATGTAATATAATATAATGTGATCTAGAACCTATGATATGGAACCTGTTCAACTTAACAGTAAATGACATGGAAGTATTAGAAGTAATTTAGATAATAGTATTTTAAAATAATAGTAAATTTGTATATTTGCTGAATATATACAATTATTATCACAGTCACACACCAATGTTTGCAAATCTTAGGTGACTTATTTACTCATGTTACAATCTGGCTTAAGCAACAGACACAGACATGTAAAGCAGCCATTGGCTCAATGAAAAAATAATCAGGCAGCTGAGCCTAGAGGGTAACTGGGGAGATACTTAGAAGTTCAAGCTCTGTAGGCAGCTTTGTTACATTAAAATACAAAGACGTTACATTAGCACCAAGGGTTTTCAATGATGCTTTGTAAGGGCATATTGGACTAACAATTTTTGCTTCTTCAAGCAAACATAAATGGAGCATTTGCTGCTTATGATGTAAGAACGCTACATGTATTCATAATTAAGAATTTCAAATACTCCATTAGGACTTGTTGCAAAACAAAATGCAAAATGTGGATATCTTCTCACTTTCATGAGATCCTCGCTGCTCTCTGTCATCCCTCCATTGCTATAGTTAGTCACCATCTCAGTCAGCAGTTTCACATTGTTATTTACTTCTTCAATGGCATGCACTCTCTTGGAGATCTTCTCCATTCGCTTTTGGTCCTGGAAGAAGAGAAGGGTTACAACTGGGTCCTCTTCCTACTCCTTAGAAGACTAGAAAATGTAAAACATGGCAATGCTGTTATCTTCAATGACTTTAAAGAGACCCTCAATATTATTCTATCGAGATCACTGAATGCTAAGATACTGCAGCTAACTCAGCATCCTAAACAACTCTAGACATTAAAATATGCCACCCCTGAAAGTTTTTATAGCTCACTGGACATGTATTTCAAGACCGTATTTTATTTCTGAAACCTCTGCCTTCCATATGCAAAGGAAAAGTCCCTGTGAAATAGCATGAAAACTTTGAAGACAAGATTATCAAACAATGCCAACTGATAGACACATAGAAATGGAAGCATGTCTCAAGCAAAGCTTACTTCTTGAACCATCTCTTTGATGAGTTTATTGGCAGCTCGGAGATCTTCAGGATGGGAACTTTTGAGCAGACGGGCCAGCATCTGCAAAGACAGAGAGATCAGAAAAAATAGCTGTCTGTGGAAAGCTTACAATAGAAGAGTATATGAAAAAATAGATATGAGATATAAAGCAGGGTAATTCAAGAGCAATACTTTCCACATAATGTTATCTCTTTAAATCAATCCAGACCTTTCAAAATCTCAAATCTCAGCCTTATATACTTTGATAGAGACCTAAAACACCCCAGAAAGTGTTACAGTAATCAACAATAGAGTAAGGATAAATTTAACATTTTCTGCTTTCTCTGTAAAGCAGGCTAGCATAATCTGTAATCTACTAAGATAAACAGCCAGATTTCATGGGCTGTTTCTAAACTTGTTTAAGGAAAGAAAAGCAGGTGGTTTAGTGAACCACTCATGTGTTGACAATTTGTTTTAACAATATTAGATTGAACTGTATGGCCCATTGCTATAACCATGCCTATAGACAATTTCATCTTTTAGCCCCGATGAGTGCAATCTGGGAGCTCTAGAAGTTGTCTGATTACAAATCTACCAGTCTGTTTAAAAAAATAAAAAGCTTAAAACAGTAATCAAGAACGATGAGAACTGAGGAGCCAAAAATAGAGGTTTACAGGTTGTCTCATCCAAACCTAGTCCTATCCAAACTTATTAAAACTTGCCGGTGTCAGTTCACTGCAACCCTTAAATAGTTCACATTTTCACTTTCCACCCAAAACCTTTTCAGGTGATGCAGTATCTTGAAAAGCTAAGAGTTTCAAACCTTAGACCAGGGGTCCTCAACCTCGGCGACTTGAAGACTTGTGGACTTCAACTCCCAGAATTCCTCAGCCAGCTTTGCTGGCTGAGGAATTCTGGGAGTTGAAGTCCACAAGTCTTCAAGTCGCCGAAGTTGAGGACCCCTGCCTTAGACAAAGCAAAGCAATTACTATAAATATCTAGCCAATGAATTATTTTTTTACCTTGGATTTCTCTTCATCATCAAAGATTACATTCTTTGGTCTAGGAGGAGGTGGATGGAAAGACGCGTCCTCTGGCAACTTGGGGTCACATTTTACAATCCCTGGGGGGGGGGGAGGGAAAGGAAAGCTCTTACCAAGAGTTCTTTTTTTTTTTTTTTGCATAAAGAGTAGAAATGTATTGCAGAACACAATTCTTCTACTTGTATCCCAAAATTAGAGATGCTAATTCTACAGCACCTCTTTCCAATGCATATACCAACAAACAACGTAACATAGTTGCCTTCTCTCCACCAAGTGTCCAAAAGTAGACAACCGATCCGTTTCTCTATCAGGCCAATTTAATAAGTCTCCCCAATTTGACCCCTTTTTCCAAGTGAATGAATGTTGCGGTGAAGTAGACAACCTCTCAGTTAAAATAAATGAAACACTTTTGTGGGAATGGGGCTTGCTGAGCCTATGAGGAAAGAGATTATTGGTGAAAACTTCAAAATAAAAAAATGAGATTTTGTAAATACAAAAACGGGACCCTAAATTAACATTTCAGGCAGAAATTTAAAAAATGTCAGATAAAGGATGAGACATTTCAAAAGGTCTTTAAAGAACTGAGAGAGAAGCTTAGAACTAAACTAACATCAATAATGTCTACATCTGGGCTTCCGTTTCTGGTTTTCGACACTGGCGGACATGCGGAGACCGCTCTCCCCGCTGTGCGGTTTTTCTCCTTCGGAAGACCCTGGAAAGGGTCGAAAGTCGCCCTGGAGGGGCGACCACTGTTGGGGGGGGGGATTCTTGCTGGATCGCGGAGGAGCGCCAGCCTCTCCGTTTGATCTGCAGTAACTCCTCAGGACCAAAGAGGAGTTACTTAGTCAAACCAGCCGAAAGCCCAAAGCACCAACTAAGCATGAAGAAGCAACTGGAGGAGTTGGGTGAGACCCTATTTTTCCTTTTCTCCTTCCCAACTACTTTCCTGTAAAATTTTTGAAATACCCCTTGCCCCCAGCTGAATTCTGCAGCTTTTGCTCACTTTGGGAATATAAAGCCAAGAAATACACACAAAAATGGAACAACAAGATTAAATGACCACTTACCTGGACTTGTAATATCTGGATACCTGGGCTCCCTAAAAGCTCTGTATCTCGACAAAAACTTACTGCTTTACTTTTGTGTTAACTCGGGAAAAAAGGGAATGTTCTTTGTTTCCTCTCTTGAACCGGAAAAAAGCCCTATTTTGTATGTCACTGGGGACATCTAGTGGTGAGATTTGGTATGGCAAGTGGAAAAAAATTTCTGACTGGGAGATCTCTGAGACTAAAATTTGTTCTTGACAGCAACCAAAAGATAAGAACTTGAAACAGCTGGGTGGTGAAAATATTTATTTATAGTGGAGGTGGACAGCTATTGACTCTTATTAAAAATAGTCTCCACTAAAGGCCTGTAAACGTTACAGAAATGGAGGAATACCACCCACAGCCTAATGTCAAACTCATACTTGAAAAAATTCTAGAGGTTACTGAGCTAGTGAATTCTAGAATCAAAGACTTACGTGCCACTTTAAAGCCACAAAATACAGCTTTAACTCCATTAGAGGAATCTACACTTCAAAAAACAACAGAAGAAGGAACTAATAACAAAGTGGATTTTAAAGAATGTCAGGAACAACCTACCCAGAACTTTAACACCCAAATTTTGACCTCACTTAAAGACTTTACAACTACAACAGCAACAGAAACTGAACAAAGCAATGCTAAGATGGAACTTGCAGAGGATTTGCAACAAGACACTGAGATTCTAGATAATCTAGATGATCCAAAAACAACTACTACATCGAACATGAATTTTCATCTACTTCAGCTGAAACCAGAAGAAGAAGAAGACCAGCCTGAATGTATGATAAATACATTAACTCAGATATGGAGACTTAAACCATTTGGCCAACAATTCAACGATTGTGAAGGGACTGGCTTTCTTGATAGGCTGATGATCGGATGGTCTCCCTTGTTTCAAATGATATATCCAGGAAGGGAGGGAGAGCCACTTGAGGATCTAAAAGCTTTTTTATGAAAGCCGGCTTGGCATAAAAGGAAGGCCAGAGTTAGACTTAAAAAAAATGGTTTTCCTTGTGTGCTACCTAACGGAAGAGCTTTAAACTTTATGTAATGAGCCAAGGAGATTTTAAAAGATATTATTGGATTTAACAGTTAGGATCTATATCTATAAGGGAAATAAATTAGTTATTTAAATAATTGTTTTGAATTACAAATAGAAGATGGATTTAGAGGATAAAGAAGCTTAGAACTAAACTAACATCAATAATGTCTACATCTGCCAACATATTTCTTGAAATTTTAAAGAAGTCAAAGATGTAGAAGAGAAAATCCTAAACAATATAGAAATATTTTGAAGAAATTGTGGATTATAAAAGAACTATAAAATGATAGAATTGAAATACAAGTGACATATCAAGAAATGGGAAAAGATCTGACAATGATTTATTGGATTTACAAAAGGAGGTTAGTAAAGTCTTGAAGAAATTTTTGAAATGGGAGAAAGTTTGAATGGCAATTTAATCCTACAACAAAAACTTGATGAATTAAAGATTAAGACTGTTTGAGGGAAAAGGAAATGAGCAAATGCTACTTTTATCTTTAAAAAAGAGAAAAAGAAGGATCTGGAAACTATAAACCAGTCACCCTGATACTGATATCTAAGAAGTAAGCTAAGCTCCTTGAAAACAATGCAGTAATTAGTATGAATTTGTAATAACAAATCTTATCGAACTAAACTTATTTCATTTTTTAAAAATTGATTAACTTCCTTAATAGATTGTGGGAATGCAATGGCTATAATGACTTGCTTTCAGAAATAAATTGGATAAAGTACCTCAGAATATTCTGGTTAGCAAATTAATTAATAAATAATCCAGAATTCTCATGTCAGGCCTAATTAATCAGATTCAAATTATTATATTTTGGCAAATACCTAGCTCACTTGAAAAGTTCATAATGTTGAGAAGGTTGAATACTGCAAGGTATGTCTTGGGATATATTTATATTTTCATTTCAATACCTGCTGTGCAAACTATACACACTGTTTAAAAGTTTGGGATATAAAGATACAACATCAGTAATAAAAATTTAACATAACTATAATGCTAATCAATTGCATATTTAGATGTCAAATAGCTGCTTCGATGACTATTACTGGTAGAAAGATTCCTATGGAAAGTATTATATCTAACAGTGTAAGATATGGAGCAAAATTTAACCTGCTTTAATCATATTGAACCATCTTCTACCACATTTATTAATTTGTATGTATGAGTTTGCAAACACATTAGTGCTAAAAAAATGCCCAGTTCTTTACACTACCTCTTCAGTATTTTTGTAGTCCAAAATATAAAACACCCAAGCTATTAACCCAAGTTTGGAAGGAACATCCACATTCTTGTACAATTAAGTGAAGACTTCTGGGCAAAGAAAAATATATCCCACCTTGTTTTTTCAACATCTGATATGCTTCTGTAATTTTCACTTCCTGGGGCAGACCCAACGTCCAGCTATACATCAATTCTAAGATTTTGGATTTCACTTTTTCTGCAGTTCTGTTTCCTAGATACTGAGGAAGGAATAAATCACATCTCATATTTAACATGAAGGAGTTAAAGAAAAACACACAAGTTTGCTTCTAGGGCAGACATGTCAATCTCGAGACGTCACGTGACGTTGCGCAATGTATCGGGACTATTTGCCATTGCCGGCAATGGGGTGGGCGCGGCTTCCATGTGACGCCCACGGGCCGGCAGTTTGACACCCCTGTTCTAGAGTGTTCTGTATGAAGCATGAGATGAAGTGTCATGTGTTTGGTTCTACACTGAAGGTGAAGACAAATCCAACTGTTGCAATCCTGACAATATCAGACATTAATGGAATAAACCACCATCAGCAATTCTTCACTTTTCATTTACAGTATACTAGCACGGAGCTCAAAAGAAAATGATTCAAAATACAAGGTTTTCTTAGTGAAGTCAATAATATTACTTTTTATTCAACATGTTAAAATATGAAATTGCTCTCTGTTTATCACTACTTGTCACACTTTGAACCTGACACACTAGTAATGAGCACTCACCTTTGGTGATACAACCTTGATGAGCTCGTTAAGGAACCTAAACTTGCCAACTTCATCATGAAAGCGCTTGCCACAGTTTTTCATACAGGCCTCTAGCACCTGTAAAATAAAGCAGGAAGTGACCCTAAAAGCCCACATGCCAGGATTCTTCATTCTCTTCAAAATGCAATGAAATGAGGGGATGGGGATGAGGACTGAGAAGAATATTATTTTAAAAAGTATGCCTTTTGAAGCTTTCATATTAACCTTTTTCTCCCTGATAAACCACAAAAACAATATAAACCAGTCTTCCTCAATAATGCCTTCTAGATGTTGGACTATAATTGCTAGAAGTTTTCCTACATTTTAGGAAGAGGTAATAAAAGGTTTGCTCCTCTGCCAAAAATCACAAATTATGACTTCAAATTTGAAAACACTGGTTGTATTTAGAGCTACATATTTTGTGCACGTTACTTTCCTTGTCTCTTAAGTATGGAAATAATTAAAAGCAATCCCACCATAGCTCAGTACAGAATTAGCCACCTTGGGCTATTCAGAGAGCATTGCCTTGTAATAATAACATGCTAAGCCAAAAATATATGATGGCTTCCAATATTAAGCCCAAGAATGCCTTATTCAGACAAATAACATATGCACATAAATAAATATGAGCTAAAATTCATTCTATAAAATGTTAAATATTATATAAATGCCAGAAAAAAAGTGTCAGTTACTCCCAGAAACTTAGAGATCTCTTTTTTCTCATTTTGTGGCAGGCACATATGACAAGGAATCATTGGAAACACCCAGATGAGAGCTAAGCAGGAGTGTCCTTATTAGGCACCTGATCCAAAATCTCAAATGTCAATAGACTTGTATTCAGATGAGAATTTCCTCTTTCCCAAGTGATTAGATACAGATAGTATTTACTCTTGCTAGAAATAGAGTGCATGTAAAATCAGTCAGGGTTAGCTTTTAGCGTTCATGTATTAATACAACTGCTGTGATTATTGCTTTCCATGTAGACCAATTGTTTCACATGAATGGGGAATATATTTATCAATTTACCATATTGCACACTTTTAAAGTTAAAAACCAATACACATGAATGTTTTAAAAATCTAAAATAACCAAAAACTGCAAGAGAATAAAACCAAAGTAAAACCAAAAGTAAAACCAGCACAAGAATCTAAAAAGAAGTATTTTAAACTGAAAATTTAAAAAGCCTAGGCCAGGGGTCCCCAACCTTGGCAACTTTTAAGACCTGTGGACTTCAACTCCCAGCATGGCTGGCTGGGGAATTCTGGGAGTTGAAGTCCACAGGTCTTAAAGCTGCCAAGGTTGGGGACCCCTGGCCTAGGAAATGCAATAACCAAACAGAACTGCAGTTTTCTAGAAACCAGAAAGCAGCGAGGCTATGGTGTCTCTTCTGAAATACTTGGCATCCCATGAAAAGAAGAATGTCTGCATCTGTCAAAGGTATAGTACTTGAAATCAGAGTGCAGAGTGGAGGTGGGTGAGGGGAGAGATAATAATCATCCTGACATTTCACATTTAGCCTTGATAATATCGTTACTCTTCTTCCAGCATAAATCTAACATAACCCCAAGATTGCTTAAGTTGTACCACGACCTCTCATTCAGGTAGTTACCAAGAAGCTTTGTTTCCTTCCAACTTGTAGTAAATCAAGCAGGATACAGTTCATGACATCTTACCGTGAGAGCCTGCATGGCTTCCCATTCTTGTGGAGACTGGATCTTGTGGGCTAGGAGCCGGGTTGCTAGGGGTGGGCTGTAAGTGAGACATAGAAACAGTGAGTGGAGTCACAGGAAGAGTTAATGAAGTAACAATTTGGATCTCTCTAAACCCCATTTTATTTTCATCTTAACACATTCATAATAACACACAAGCTACCACTCACTGGAATAAGAGCTCTCAATCCAGAGGCTATTCTTTTTGGGTCATTTTCAGACCGCCTTGAGGCTGACACTTTTTGTGAAATGGATGTGTTGGTGAGATGCTGCCCATTGTTATATGAAATCCCACTTTTCCCTGACGTAGTCTCCACATTTTTTACTTTCTATTAGCTGGTTTCAAGAAAATCTCACTGGTTCTTAACTCTGCAAATATTTTGTACTCCCCTTTTAAGGTATTATACCTCTTTTTGCAGCAAACATTATGAATAAGGCAATTTAGTAAACTGTTAACTGACACTAAGAGACTGATTGAAGTTTACTTCTGAGAATAATCACTTTTATAATCAAAATTTGATTATGACACTAGTCCATTCCCTACAAACATTTCTCAGTTTTAATATCTTAGTGAACTCTCCAAGTAATCCAGAAAACCTATGCTGGAGAGCCCTACTGCCAATAAAAAGGGCATACAAATATCATTTTGAAATTGTTTTTAACTTCCTGTGTTAAACTGATGATCCTCTATAAAAGTCATCAATTTAAACCTACTATCCTTTATGCCAGGGGTGTCAAACTGCCGGCCCGCGGGCCAGTTTCATCATACTGAAGCTGCGCCCATCCATTGCCGGCAATGCAAAGAGTCGCGATACGTCATGGCGCGTCATGTGACGTGGTGAGTTTGACACCCGTGCTTTATGCAAATTTACATCAATCCTATATTCTAATTGTAGTGTTTTTAGGTGTCAGATACACACACACACACACACACACACACACACACACATATATATTCACCCAACAGATTACACACACACACACACACACACACACACACACACACACACACACACACCCCTACCTAAAGTCTTAACTAATTGCTTTTACTATTTTTTCTATCTTTCCAGAAGTCCCACATTTCATACATAGGATATTTTCCTATTGGCATTTAACTATGTTATAAACATGCTCTAGTACAGTGGTTCTCAACCTTTTTAATGCCGCGACCCCAACTGGTTGTACGTCGAGGACTAAACCAGTCGTAAGTCGAGGACTAAACCGGTCGTAAGTCGAGGACTACCCAACCGGTCATAAGTCGAGGACTTTCCCTGCCTGGGAGCGCCGTGCATACGTGGTTCCACCCCCTGCGCCAGCCGAAGCGTAGCTGGCAAGCGGCAGAGATGGAGCAGGCCGACCACCAGCTGGCCCAGCCCAAGGGAGGTAAGGCACCCGCCAGAAAAGGAGGAAAAAATGGCGGACAAAAAAAATGGCGGACAGCCTTGCTTGGCTACCCCCGTGAAATGGTCGATCGACCGCAAATGGGGTCCCGACCCACAGGTTGAGAACCACTGCTCTAGTAACTTCTTGTTCTTGCTAGGTCCCTATGACACTATCTTCAAATTGTCCTTAGCTCATGAGTAAGACAGGCTTAAGTTGCATTTAACTGTCCTACCTTTAGTGTTTTCCCCTTAAGCCAGCAGCAATCCACAGCAATGTCCAAGTGAGTAAAATCCATTGTGATTTACTATCTATTTTGTCAGATGATACCCAGGAGGTAGGGAGAACTTGGCACCTATTGACTACTTCAGTCTTCTGGAGGCTTGCTACTTCTCTTGGAATTTAAGGAATTTTCCTCTGCTATTCTTGTACTTTTTTCCTTCCAGGTGAAAAGGTTACACCCATCAAAACCCAGGGTACCTCCCTGTTGCCTGTCATCAGCTCATCAGCATGTACCATAAGACAGTAAACTGGCTCTCTCAAAAAAGCTACAGAGTTAGAGTTATGTGGCATTGAAATAAAATAAAATCCTGCAATTCTAAGTGAGCACTAAAGCCAGTGTCAAAACAAGTTTGCTAGATAGTTCATTGGCAGGATTGGTGAGCTGCCCAGTAAATGGGAAAAGCTATTCTGCCTTACAGGCAGATGCTATCCACTGTGGATATTTGCTTCAGATCTACAGAATGGTAGAGGTGAGTACAATACAGGTAGTCCTCGACTTATGACGATAATTGAGCCCAAGATTTCTATTGTTAAGTGAGACATTTGTTAAAGAGTGTTGCCCCATTTTACGGCCTAGCTTATTAAGTCAATCAATGCAGATGTTAAATTAGTTACATGGTTGTTACGTGAATCTGGCTTCCCCATTTACTTTGCTTGTCAGAAGGTCACAAAAGGTGATTACGTGATCCCAGGACACTGCAACCGTCATAAATATGAGTCAGCTGCCAAGCATCTGAATTTTGATCATGTGACTGTGGGGATGCTGCAACGGTCGTAAGTGTCAAAAATGGTCATAACTCACTTTTTTCAATGCCATTGTAACTTTTAATGGTCACTAAACGAACTACCTGTAATGCAAAAGAGGCTATCTGCTTTCCTGGACAGCATCCCAACCTCACAAATCAGCTGCTGGTGGGTTTATCCAGAAGCATATGATCAGGACTGCATGACAAAAGGGATTACGCAAACCCAGAATAGTGGGTTAATTTAGTTACTACAGCTAAATAAGCAAAAGCTTTGAACATTAGAAAAGGGATGTAGATGCCGCCATAAGTTTATTCGGAATGTTTCTTTGGAATACTTTCTTTCATAGATAAACCCCAGATAGTCAAATATGAGATCAGGTATACTAACCCCTCTAATTCTTTGTTCAGCTGGTCACAAAAAGCATTTATGTTGTCCCATTCCAAGTCCTTATTTAAAGGATTTGTAGCTCTATCTGAATTGAAAGAAAGAAAAGTTTTATTTTTTTTACTTGCAATCAGAATAATTGTCAGAGTCCATTTAGCAATCATATTACACAAAAAGGGAAGTTCTAAAAAATTTATTGCAACGTTGCCATCAGACACAATAGAAGTGACACAACAGGAGACGCCATTGTTAGTGGTAAACCATGTGCTTACACAACAAAGATCCCAGGTTTAATCTTCAATATCTTTTTGTCACAATAAGTTATCTACTTAGCATGTGCAAGTATTACTAAATGAATGGGCAGTTCTCAACAAATTGAACCAAACATCTGGCTAAAGTAGCTCTATGAATGCAAATTGGAACATGACATTATAGAAGAAAAAAAATGAATTGCACACATTATCTCCTGAGAAGATATCAAACTCAAGTCTTAATTGTCCATGCTACTGAGTAACAAGTGTTCATTTTTAAAAAATGCAAATCAAAGCTCTCTCAAAATAATCCACCATTACAATAATGTAACCTCAAATCAATATTGCTATCATCTGCACTTTAACCAGGAGAAAAAACTTGCTACAGCTTCTATTCTTATAAAGCCAAAGAATATATAATATCATCTATTCTGCACACAGCAAACTTGATTAAAAAATAATGCTGTCAGATCAAAAAAAGAGGAGGAAAATGTTACAGGACAGATACTAAAGAAGCAGCAAGACATGCGACAAATAGCACACAGAATCTGCTATACCTTAAAAGATTAAAACATTGCACAAAAACCTTGGTGGGCCAAAGTCCCTTTCAGCAGATATAAAGATATTAAAAAAAAAAATCATTTTGCAAATTACAAACGACCTCATTTTAGGGTAGTTCGTTGCAACTAAAAGATTACAAATATCTCCTTGAACATGTCTGGATTTTGATGAGCTATATTCGTAACTAAACATATTCAGAATTCTCTTTTTAAACCAATGTTATTTGTACCAGAAATATAGTTACAGTCCATATTGAGTATGTGATTAATACAGCAACTTTTTCTTGGGATTGTTGTTGTCTGATTCGACTAGGGAATTTTAGTGGATTTTAAATTGGTTTTAATCAAATTTTTAGTAGAAGCGGCCAAATTTGAATATTTATTTTTAATCATTTTTAAATTTTGTACTGTTTTGTATCATTGTTTTAAACTGGCTGTAAGCCGCCCTGAGTCCTCCGGGAGAAGGGCGGGGTATAAATTTAATAAAATATAGATATAATATAATATAAGCCAGGCACAAGCTTCATTTTGGGGGCACAGTTACAGACCTTCACCTTGGCAGTCGGGGAGTAGGAAACTTAGCTTGGGCCAGAAAAAAAAAAGGCTCCAGGGCTGAAGGGGGGATAGAGGGCAGGTCTCTCCCTCGCTCAAGATAACCCAGCAAAGAGGCAAAACGTGGCAACATTTTCCTGGCACGCAGCGACCTCAGGATGAAAAAGGGGAACCGCAGGGCATGTGATGGCGAGCGGGTCACGCGAAGAAGAGCTGTCTTCGAAGCAGGCCCGAAGCACCTGCTACCGCTAAGGATGAACCCGGGCGCTCTGCCCTAACTTACTGATCCTGGACTCCAACGTCTCAGCTTCCATTCCGGGCTCCATCGGTTCCCGCTCGGTTGCCCCGCCCCCTGCCGCCGCCGCCGCCACCACGGCCGTCCCGTTCAAAGGCTCAGTACTCCTGCCGCCCTCCGGCTCCGGCAGCCCGGAGCCATAGAGAAGAATCGCCGAGAAGCGTCGAGAGGGCCGTTCTGGAAATAATAGAGCTTCGGAAGTTATAGCCGGAACGCCCTCTGGGAGCGGTGCAAAACTTGCTCACAACTTCCTCCTCCTCCGAATCACTGAGATGGACACACTTTGTCTAGATTCTACTAGAGCAGGGGTAGGCAACCTCGGCTCTTTTATGACTCATGGACTTCAACTCCCAGAATTCCTGAGCCAGCTATGCTGGCTCAGGAATTCTGGGAGTTGAAGTCCATGAGTCATAAAAGAGCCGAGGTTGCCTACCCCTGTACTAGAGAGATAGAGGTTCTACTGAGGTGGCGTTGCGGTGCCGGGCTGAGGCAGGACATAGGATTTTCTATCTATGGCGGAAAGGAAGACAGACACTTCACAATCTCAGGGCAAAAGAACGGGGAGAGATATGCTTAGAGACAGAAAATTTGAGTTCAGTCGTACAAGTTTAAGAGGGTATTGCTCTTTCTAGCTCTATGTTATTACTCTATGAGTAAATATAACGGAAGCCTTTGACAGAATACCATAGAGAACGACATTTGAGTACGCCAGAACGTCTCACTCTACCTTCTGATTGCCTGCGTCAGATTTCTCGGACTACTAGACCGGAAAGCGCTGTAACTGCCGTCTTAAGTGCCGTCCCTTGTTTGAAAAGGCGCACTGTTACCATAGTCATGCTTCATGAAAACAAGTTCTTTAGTGGTGCATTCTGGGAACTGTAGTATCATTGGTCAAAGTAGACGTGTGGGATGGGGAACGGTCAGCAGAGGCGCGCTCAATTTTTTTCCGACTCAGTATTTTTGATACGAAACACACAATTCCTAGCAAAACATTTCGTTAAGAGTGTTCCGAGGTTTTCTCTGCCCGTGCAGCTGGGGTGGGCGGCTTTGAGGTGCTGGTCCGTTAACGAACGCGACTGGGTCAGAGCGCTAAATGTCGAAACTACTATTGGCGGTCAGGCATTGACCAGATTTATTCACCTGCTACGGTTGGTTGTTTATTTCTGGGTTACTAAACAAACCACACATGGAGCGGTATCCATATGTGAAATCAAAGCTAAAATAAGCAACATTGTGGTTATTTGAGGGATCCTTGGTGCTCTCTGAGCTTGCTTGTTTTCTTGCAGGCGTTTCTTTACCCAAACTAGGTGACATCATCAGCGCTAGTAAGGATACTGATGTTGATATGGTACCTAGTTGGGTAATGAAAAGTCTGCAAGAAAACAAGCAAGCTTAGAGAGCACCAAGGATCCCTCATTTCAACCCTGAGCTACCAATAGTTTCTTTTATTGTGGTTAATTATATTTCATATTTCTAAACCACCCATCTCCCTCAAAGATGGACTCTGGGTCATGTACAATATAGTATAGCTTATCAGTAAAACAAAATTAAAAATTAAATGAGGGTTAAAAAAATTTAAATTATAAAATAATGACAAACATCAAAAGGAGGGATAATCCTGGATGGCCATTTAACATTGGATTATTGGGGGGGGGGGCTCTCAAAGGACTAACTAGCCAGCCTCATGGTTGGTGGTCCTCTGCCCTCCCCATGCAAGGTTGCAGAGCCAGGTTTTGACCCCTTTGCGGAAGACCAAGAGATCTGGGGACTCTCTTCATCTCTGGAGGCAAGATGTGCCACAAAGGAGCAGTAGCAGCAGAGAAGGCTCTCTTCCTAGAGCCTGTCAGTGATAATTCTTCGACTGCAGCACACTTTCCCAGCCTGATAGAGTGAGATGGGCTGATGAAATTGGGCAAAGCTGGTTCTGAAGGTAACCTGGTCCTACGCCAGGTTTTATAGGTGATGACCAACACCTTAAATTGGACCTGGAAGCAAAGTGGTACCCAGTACAGTTCACGGAGCAAGGGTGTTGTATGGGGTCTTCTAATGTTTTTCTATAGACCAGAGGTGGAAGAAGTGTAACTTCCCTTTTCTTTCCCTTTTCCTTTTTAGGACTAAAGGAACTCCATGTGTGTGTCTATGTGTCTGTGTGTGTTTGTGTGTGTGTGAAGAATTAGTTTTTCCCCCCTAAAGTTTTCAGGGTTAAAGGACAAAAATCTTAAGCTCTTGTAGAGCCTGTAGGCTTCAACAGCCTTCTTCCCCAAAGAGAGTTGACAGCCTAGGGTGGTCCTTTAACCAATAGAAACTGCACATCCTGAGATTTTTGTGTACCCACGTGCATTAAAACATTTTCTGGAGACTGAATCTGAAGTATATAACTAATTAGTTACAAATAAACAAATACCAGTATTTCTAGCAGATAGGTCCTCTATATCAAATTAAATTTGAATTGATGCTTTCTTTGAATTGTTCTTTGTTCATTTTTACTAGTAGTCTTATTCTCATTTTGGGTAGCTTAGTAGAAACTATTTAATATTACAATCTATTTATTCATGATAGTTGCAGTATGCCACTTCAACCAAATTGACTTTAAGCAGCTTATAAAGTAAAAACATAGACAATAATAGATACTTCAAATATAAAGAAAAATTACAAAACATATCAAAGGTATTAAAGAACTTACCATAGATAATGATATGCTTTAATACAGGCAATGCCCATTTTTTAAACACTTCAGGAAAACCCCTCTTTAAAAAAAACCTTTAATAAGTCCAATGTTAAAATATTTTACTTCATTCTGTATTAATAAGGCAAGTTTAAGTTTATATTGTCACTCTTATATACTCAATAAGGAAATTCCAAAAGCAAGCAAGTGAATGAGCTGGTTCCAAAATCGGTTGGGAAATTGAAGAAATCTCAGTATCTTACAATGGTTATAGACTTCTCCCTTAATTGTAATCCTTAGTTCCTCCTGGTCCCTCTAGTGTCCAACTTTCAAAGTCTGATCCTATCATATTTTTAAATAGAATTCAAAACAATTTTCCCACAGGAAGGATTATTAATTAATTTTAAAATCTTATTTCAGATGCATCTTGATCCTTACTTCATTTGTAACTTTCCAAAACCAAAGTTCTAATTATTTTTTTGCTGTTTGTTCCAAAATAATTAGTTTACGTCCTTAAGCTTGTTTTAAAACTTCTGTCGCTAAGGATGAAAGGAAATTCACCTGGTGCTATAAAACTTGTTGATCCAAAAGTTCCTAATAGCTGAAAAGCAGTTAAACAATTTCTGAAGTCATTAGAAAAGGAAGTACGGGTATGTGGATCCAGTGTCCTTAAAGGCACAGTCTGTAGTTTGAGAAATAGGCTATTCCCCTTGTTTCTCAGAGTTCTAAATCTGCCAAAGACTTCTGTCTTGTGGTCTTACGAGGAGCAACTGTTTGGAGCATGTGTGGATAATCTCAGGCCATCTCCTTGCCAAGTGAGGAATTACAAAAAGCCAGTCTACTCATTGGCTCTTCATTCCACCATGGTTATTGGCTGTGCTTTTAATGGAGCCATCTTGGGTTCAATGTTTCTTCCTCAGACGTCAGTGGCCACATAGATTTTTTTGCATGATGGTCTGTCCCTAACCTGGTCCTTTGATTCTTTTAATGATGCACCCATTGCCACTGTAACTTAGTTTGTCCACCTTGCTGCTGGTCTTCATCTTCTCTTTCCTTCCACCTTTCCCAGCATCAGAACCTTCTCTGAGAGCTAGGTCTTTGCATAATGTATCCAAAATATAATAATATGAGCTTGGCTATGTATTCCAAACCATAATGGATACATAATTGGCCAGTTACTACTTCCAGTCATTCTTGGGCTCCTCCACATTCCACTCTGGTTTACCATTATTGCTATTCAATGGAATGCATTCTTACTTTCACAACCTAAATGACAACAATTCATAGTGTCTGAATCCCAATAACTAGAAGATAGATGCAATGTCCTGACATTTCCTTTGATGCCTTCAAGTCAGTATTGACTCCAAGTGGCTGGCCCCTGTAGTCTTCTTGACAAATTTCAGAAGTGGTTTGCTGTTGCCTGCTTCCTAGAGCTGAGAGAGTAACTGGGCCATGGTCACAGAACTGGTTTTGTTCCTAAGGCAGGACTAGAACTCACAGTCTCCTGTTTTCTGGCCTAAACCAAATTGACTCTCTGGTATATTGAGGATATCCACACTCATAACAAACAAACCATTGTTTAGTGCAATGTATGAATCTAACATTAAGTTGTTTATCAGAGACATACATTAATTTACACTTATGCAGTGTTATAATAAATTACATTTTAGAGAACGGTATTGATAACATAACTCTGATGTGTTGACTCATTTTCTTGGCAAAATTACCCATTATCTTCCAAACTAGATGATATTATTGATCCTCTTTATTATGCTTGTAAAAAAATAAGCTCTCTAGATAATTAAATATCACTTGTCCTTTTGTCCTTGCTTCTTTAATAAGTTATCCTGGCTGCAATTATGATAGTTAATAATAATAGCTTGTCTTTTATCTGCTCCAGCAGTTTTGTAGCAATATAGCATGTTAACTCTGTACAGTCCTTTTAATTTAATGCTTGGAGAAGTTGTCAGCTTGACAAGTGCAGAGTCCTCTACTTGATGACTTGCACATCGTACTGTGAAGGTGAGGGCTGAGTGGTAGGGTGCTTCAAGAATCTCATCGACTTGAATGTGATGAAGAAGAGTGCTGATCAATTATTATAGCACTATTGATATTTCTAAAGCCCATCCAGATTTGATCTGGTCAATCATAGCATACAGGACTGTACGATTACTAGAGGAGAGGCAAGTCTGAAATGTCTTAAGATAATGGATAACATAATCTAACATCCCTAGATCTGTTTGTAAAAATATTAGCAAAATATTTACTGGGACATAAAGTGAGAACACAGAACTATTACCTGTATGAATTTTGCACTCACTGAAGCGAAGACGTGCTAAGGATTTAGCATCCGGATGTAGCAGGAC